CAACGAACCCCCGACATCCGAGTCTGAGATGACGATGTGGGTAATTAGCCATTGTCACATGCTGCAGTTATTGCATCGTTAATAAGAGGTGTGGAAAGACGCAAGAAAAAATGTCAGACTCTCAGTTATTATAAAAACATTACGTAACCGAACAATGTATTGTTTATCCTTGTTTGACCTTAGGAAGAGAGTGAATGAGAGAGGTCTATAGATGCCGATATACTCATACAGTACTTCTAGCATAACACAGGGCAATACAGGAAAACATGGAATACCAGACTTTTCATACGGGAGTCACTTCTCGAGAAGTCATTTCCGAAAATACCAAATAAGATTCTTAAGGGCTTGTCAGTTTTGCGAAAGGTCTGTTTAAGAATTCAAATAAAACTTGTAAGGCAATTTATTTTAGATTAAAATGTGCACTTCACTTCTTTATTAATTGACCTTCGATATTGGATCGCCAAACTGGAGAAGGGTCTTTGCATGGGGCGCGTGCGTGGATGCTTTCCTTAATCCACTTGAATGCGATTTTTGTCGCGTAGCAAGACTAGAGTTACATCAACCACTTGACAATGTTGGGGGTGTTCACAATTCTATATATCCTAATTTAATAAACAATGCAAAGTGTTCCCGTTTTTGCGAATTAATTAATATAGTTACTTGTGCCAAAAATCACGTGTCCTCTTATGGCATTATCTGATTCAAGGTTAAGTTAAAGAGGCGGGATGACCCTGTAATTTTGTAAATGTGACTAAGCAAACTGAGTACCCACACATAAGACGTTTTTGTAACATCCTGATGTAGATACAATGTGTACGTTTGGCTCAAGATATACTTCGGCATGACCAAAGAGAGATAACTCTCGCTAAGTTTTACTATTTCATTACCATGCATTATAACAAATGCCCCATGGTATGTCTATGAAGACACACTTTTAGTTTCATAGAATAATTTTAAGCAGTGGCGTAGCATCGTTTTTGAAAGTAGGGGGGCCAGACAGAGAAAAAAATTTTTTTACTTACCTGAAGAAGATGACAAGCAAAAAAAAAAAAGAAAAAAGAAAAAAAAAAAAAGGTAAAAGTTGCCCAAAGTCCTATTTCGTGTGTGTGTGTGTGTGGGGGGGGGGGGGGGGGGGGGATGCTAAACTTTTTCTCAGTGTCAACTACTTTTAGTACCAATTCTTCTACTACATTTTCGGTACATTTCTAAAAGTGGTGGGGCCAACCAGCCTTTCAATTAACATTTCCTATAGTGTAAGTAAGGTTAGAAAAAAAATAGGGGGGGGGGATTTCTTCAGGCACCCCACATAAATAGCCCCTGTTAAGTTGTATAATTTGTGTTGCCTGTGTCATTTTACGTGAAAAAACGCATTTATTCACTTGAAAGTTGTACATGAAGCGCAATTTGAAGCCATTTTTTGGCAAAAATAATTGACTTTTTTATGCTACATAATTCTGATACTGAAAGTTCCTAAATAATAGTTACTTGGCTACTTCATAAAATTATTTACGTAATAAATATCAGGCAGTAAGTACAATAGAGTAGATGAAGATACTTGAGAAGGAGTTATTGCCCTTAACACAAGATTTGAAAGATGAAATAAATTATTTTAAAAGAAAGTATTTCATTTTTATTGTTTTTCCAGACAATAATGTTCACCCCCGGGGAGCCCCCCCCCCCCACTTTTTTGTAAAGATAGACATAATATGGGTTTTGAACATTGGAACGTAGGTTTAACCCTTCGATCCCTGTCCCTACTTTCAACACGCGTGCACCGTGCAGGTTGCAGTGTATTTAATTTTAAAAATCCATATCATTGAATTAAAATTTTATATCATTTTTCCTTGATATTGCGAAAATTCAAAGGGAACAGGTTCGGTCGACCATTCCCACCGTGTATATCCCAACATGCGGGGTGTATACTATGTTGTGCGCGGGGTGTATGCTTCCGAAGCGATATCCAATCAATGTTGAAATCTTTGTCCATTTTCTCAACTTACGGATATTTTTCGCCAGAAAGCAAATGCCTACGGAAGGAAGCATTGTCTAAGGAGTATTGGATACCTGTGAATCCACTGGACACCTTCTAGTTTTTTCAAACACCTCAACACAATTCCGGGGATCGGAGCAAGATTGGGGCTACACTGTGTTTATGATCAAATATCAGAACAAAGCTTTGCTTTATCGTCACTTTTATATTATTGTTAAATACATTTTTACAATAAAAACGTTTGTACAAATTGTCTGTAAATAAAACAGTTCGTATAAAAAGAAATTGAAGAAAAATCAATGTTGTGTCAGGGGTGTATGCAACATGTTGTACGCGGGGTGTATACCCCTCTTCTTACTCCATAGAATCATTGTCTTAAATGTCATTAAAAAAGTTGTTAACAATTGACTTTTCTACTATTTTTTTTTTTTAATTATTCATCAGTTTTGTAATAGCACAACTTCAGGTTCATGAATTCGATTTACTGGAAATAAAATTGAAACACGTTCATCGTACTTTTGGCTTTGCATGCACATGGAAGTAAATATACAGGATACTTTGTTTAACTGTTAATGTGATGACCAACAATTCATCCCTTCTTTCGATTTAAAGGCACCTAATTCAGATCCTTTCTTATGCTTCACACGTGCATAGGTTTGAACATTTAACATTTCCTCATAATTTCTGTTTAACTTTTTCAATACATTTTAAATGAGTTTGAAAATATTTAGCTTTTTGTAATTACATAAACACCAAAAAAAAAAATGTTCTCGTTCATGTAGTATTTAGTTATTGTGTACTCTGCCCCCGCCAGGAGCCCATATATGGCAGTTAGCTCTTTGTTTTATTTTGAGGCATTGTATTTTACTCAATCGGCAATCCTCGAGCTGACTCCGCTACGCTCCATTCAATCGGCATTTTTCGGCTGACTCCGCTACGCTCCATTATGTACGAATCATCCGTGGAACTCCGATTGGTATTTTATCAAAAATACTTTCTAAATATGGGCCCGAGGAGGGTTTGTTTGTGTCTAAGTTCCTTTTTTGGGGGAGGGGGGGGGGTAACTTTACTATGTGTATAATGATATGATAATAAATTAGGGGAGGGTGAACATGATTGATATTAATTACACGTCAACGTAAAATTGTAATTGTACCAAAAACCTTTTTTTTTTCAACTGTGCATGCCCTCGGAAAATTGTCGTCCCTTATTACAGATGTGCATTTTCATAGCCAGCTTTACATGTTTATTGTGATATTTAAAATATGAAATCTTTTCAGATAAGGAAAAATGAGTCGTCATATTGCGAAAAATTGAAAGGAAATTAATATACATGTATCAGACAGACACGTAGTATCACCCCCTTTTTGTTCCAGTCACAACTTTTTACTACAGAAAATGAAAGTCAGGTTGCCCCCCTTTTTTATCATAGTCAAAAATGGTTATGTAGTATGTTTATGTAAAAAAAAAAGGAGAATTGAAACTGAAAAAAAATGTGACCTTCAACCCCAACAAATAGGAGTTTGAGTTTCGATACCCCCCCCCTTTTTTTTTAAATAGCTAGTCAACTTATGTCAAGGTTTTTTTTTTTCAGGTATCCCCCCCCCTTCAAAAAAGATTCTACATCACTGACATAAATGCTTAAGAATATATGTATTGATAACATGAATGTTGCAGAAACAAAAAAAAAACAAAACAAAACAAAAAACGATTTATTCATAATACACCATTCATGTAGAGTTTCTATTATTTTTTACGGGCGAAATATTTAGATTAAAACGAACCAAAGAAAGGACAGTGTCCTCCATGCAGGGATTGTGGAAAACGGGGGGGGGGGGGGGCACCTTTAGGGACCCTTTGGAGAGATTTTATGATTGCGTAGATTTAGATCATTGCCCCATCTACAATGTAGCATTTAGTCAGATAACAATCGCTCCTTGCACATCTAGCGCCTTTTATGTTTGAATATGATAGTTTGATTTTTATTCTTTTTTAAATTTAGTTGATTTGTTTTTTACTTCAGTTAGTTTATGGAAATTACTCTTTGGTTCGGCATTAGTTTTAAGGTCTTTTATCAACACTATCTGTCACTTTTAAACCTGTGTGAATATAATATTTCCATGGCATTGATACTTTGCACTACACAATCCTAAGAAAAATATGGGGTATACACCCCGCGTACAACATGTCGCATACACCCCGGACACAACATTGATTTTTCGTCAATTTCTTTTTATACGAACTGTTTTATTTACAGACAATTTGTACAAACGTTTTTATTGTAAAAATGTATCTAACAATAATATAAAAGTGACGATAAAGCAAAGCTTTGTTCTGATATTTGATCGTAAACACAGTGTAGCCCCAATCTTGCTCCGATCCTCAGAATTGTGTTGAGGTGTTTGAAAAAACTAGAAGGTGTCCAGTGGATTTACAGGTATCCATATACTCCTTAGACAATGCTTCCTTCCGTAGGCATTTGCTTTCTGGCGAAAAATATCCGTAAGTTGAGAAAATGGACAAAGAACGTACATTGACCCCCTTTTTCTCGCTTCGGAAGCATACACCCCGCGCACAACATAGTATACACCCCGCATGTTGGGATATACACGGTGATTCCTCTAGGTAACTGTCTGCCTTTGACTATAAAACTAGAATAAGCAATCTAAATTATCTTTATTTTTTTTCAAAAACATCTGCAGACCAACCTTGCTCATTTTATAGAGTGTGTATTTTTTTTAATGTCAAAAACTGGCATCTTATCCGCTATGTTCTCAACTAAACCAGGGACATATAAGATAGGGTCTCTTATACGTCTATGACTAAACATAGCTGCAGCTATCATTGGGTTTATTTCTTTCAAGAATTCCAAATGGTACAACTTCACGCATTTTACATTTTATCATCAAGCTGCAAATAAAACCACACGGGATAAATACCTGTAACCAACCCACTTTTCATATCCTCGGACTGCTTTCGAATTTTCGCGGGTTGATTTTTTTATTATTAGTTATCGGTCACTTCCGGCAAGAAGTGGGTCACGTGGTACATACACAAACTTACGGCCATATTGGTTTTGTGCTTCGTGTTCAGGCTGGTGAAAAAGTATTTTAACAGATAGGTATTGACACGCTAAGGCCAATGTCGGTCCATTTTGTTCATTAATACACCTTTGGCGACTATCGTACAAACTGATTAAGGTTGCTTTAGAAAAAATATACTAAAAAACGATGTCAAACTGTTGACATCTTGGCACCTTTCTGCAGAAATTTCTTAATCAGGAGTGTATGCACAGTCACCCGAGGTGTGTGGAATTGGACTTGATGATAGACATTAAGAATGTAATAAAATGACTCTGTTTGACTCTTTTACTTCAAACTATCTTAAGTATACTGAATGTTCGAAAAGAACGAAATTGTATGTCAATGTACAAGGTTTGGATCTGCCATGTGATTAGCAGAACTTGAGGCAAAACATTGAAGTCAGTACTAATCTAAAATTCTTGTCTTTTTTCAGATTGTAGTAGAATGGCAGACACACTGAAATTTGGTCCAGAGTGGTAAGGGAAAAGTCAAGTTAACTATATCTATTATTGCTGTCTTCTCTCAAAAGCTGCTTTGCAAGTGTTGCAGCATGTTAGTGATTAAGGGCAATATGCTTTTGGCACCACATGACCTCTAGCATTCATTGTTAAAAATAAAAAGTTGCCACTGAAACCTAAAATTTAATTTTAAAAAATGGACTTTGATATTTAGGAAAAATGCACAACAATGAAATGTTCTTCATTTGCAACAAAACTTGTGTGTGAATCGATGTTAATCTCTCAAACTAGACATATTAGACCAACTTGTCATCTAAAATCTAAATTTCATAAGGCAATGCAGAAAAACAGATAAAACAAAATTGGTTTTCTGCTCTAATGTAACTGAAATTTTTGTTCCTTCAATGGCAAGACCATCTGTAACAAACTATATGGATGCCCCCGACAGACTGACTAAAAATGGCCGACTCAAAACTTTTTTTTCTATTCCAGAACACAATATTTTTTTTTCTTTTTATTCCTCTTATTCAGGTCATCAAATATATTGAAATTTTCTGGAAAAAAGATTTTCCCAATCATGCAAACCCAATATTGATTGAAGAGTTTACACACAGACATTATTTTTAAGATGGCCCAATCTGCAAATTCATATGAAGTCAAATGAATAGTATATTGAAAGAAGGTGAACAATTTTATAGTTTTTAATGCTTTTTATTGTACTTTGTAGGCTTCGTGCCTTGTCAGATGGAAACAATGTGGGGACGCCTCCCCCTTCCCCAGGGTTTGGGAAGTATAAACTGGCAGAGCATCGGTACGGTAGAGAAGAGATGCTGGCCTTGTTTAATCCAGACATAGACCCTCCTGAAGAACTCAAAAAACTAACCCCAGTATATGTTGAGAAAAAACAAGAACCTCTTGCTCTAGTCCCATTATCTGAAGAAGAACAGGTAAAATTGTAATATGAGAAGTAACAAATATTCAATTTCTGTTGTGTTTTTATGGATTTTATACAAAGTTTCTTTGTTTATGTAGAGGATATTATCCCAGTCTGTAAATAGCGTAGCAGTATTAAGAATGTTTGGGCGAGGTGGACCTCCTGGGATACGAGGTGCCAGAGGGGGAGGACCAGATAGGGGGAGGGGCAGAGGTAAGTTATTTACCTGGTTTAATATGTTTATCTTAATATCTGACAAATCAAGTATTAGAAACATATATTTTTTTTAATTATTAAAAATAAAAATGAAAAAGTTTCAAGACTGTGACATTGAAGTTTTTTCCCCCTTTGGTACAGGGAGAGGTAGAGGAGATTACATGCAGAGGGGAATGTCCTATGAGGAGACAGGCGGGGGATTTGGTCGCCCTCCCCCACTCAACAGAAATGATGGATGGGAAGAAGTGTAAGATTTCTGCTTTACTCGTGCTATTTCTTAATTGTCAAGTGTTTCGCTCCTCCCGACTGATGAACTGGAAATGGTCTAACTCAAAACTTTAATTTTAACTCTGAGAAACTTTTTTTTTATTTACTCTGGAATAATATCATACAGTGTTTTCCCTTTACTTTAAAGTAAAAGGTTAGAGATCATTTGTAACAGGCTAGGGGCTGAGGTTTATGAACAGAATCTCTGTGAACCTTATAACAAATTTTTATTTCAAAAAGGCATTTTTAGCTCTACTGGTCAGAAAGGTGCGATAGTAAATTTCCGTCTGTCTGTCCGTCTGTCTGTCTGTCTGTAAACAATTTTTCAAAATGCTACTCCTCCTACAGTTTTGGTCTGATTTCAATATACTTGACACACAAGTAGACTACACTAAAACACATAATTCTGTGTATCAGTTTTTGATTTTGATGAAGGGTGTTGCCGTGGTAACTAAAAATAGAAATTTCTGTTAAATACTCTCAAAATGCCACTCCAAATACAGTTTGATTATTATAATATAATGTGACATGCAAGTAGACTACACTAAGGACATAAAGAGACTTAATCAAGGATCATTATTCTTTTTATTGCTGTGGTAAAGTTTCAATTCCCAACTGCTTAAAAACTTTTCTCCTCATTTGCTGTACGTACAGACCAGTAGAGCTTCAGTCTCGACAGAGACTTCTGGTTGTAAGTTGAAGCGGTCAATTTGGCCGGTAGCTGGTTCTTAGGGAAAACACTGATCATGTATTAACGTAATCTCCCATTTCATGAAATATTTTAAGTTTAACATTCCCTCAACCCACCCCAATTTTTTTTATCATTAGTTGGGTGGAAGCAGGAAAACATTTCTTTTAAAAGATGAACTTGAGAAAATATGTAGTGAAGTACATCCTTGTACTAAGTAATTAATTATTGTAGTGGTGCAAAAAGAAATTACAACACAGCTAGATATGATGATGGATCCAGTGGTCCTCCTAAACGTGAATTTAACCGTTCCTTGAGCAGTGAGAACTGGAGAGACAGGGGAGGTAATGAGGAGGAAGAGGATGAGGGAGACTGGAGGAGAGCGGGAGGATCCAAGTGGAGTAGGTTTTAATTAAAAAATATATTTTAGGCTAATTTATTTTTTTCAAGTCCATAATGCTATTTTCTCCCACCCTTTTAAATTTTTACATAAGGCAAAAAAAAATTAATCAATAGTTTCTCAATATTAACAACGGCTTGATCAGATTGTATTCACTCCATTACTTTTATACAAACATAAAACAACAACATTCTATGCATGACAGCCAGCCGTGCGTGCGCTGGAGGCCTTATTTTATTGACAGTTTCCACTAAACAGTACATCAATATACATATATATAACACAGAACATTGTGTATGAGAAATAAAAACATCAAAATTCCCCAAAACTGCTGCATCTATTATAATATTCTATACTATATTTTTGTGAAAAACATGAAAAAGCATCAAATTAAAAATAATTTTTTAAAAACTGAATGTGTCCGTCATGCCGCTGGATTTTACCTATCAACCCTAAGAAAAAAATCAAAAAAATATATTCATTTATACCCTTATCTATAAGGCTATCTAAATTTAATTCTCTGGTTCTCAGGCCAATTTTCTCCAACACAGATGCGGGAGGGCGGCTTTTTATTTATCTTTTTATTGGTATTAAAGTAGATGAGGGAGGTATTTTTTTAATTTTCGAATTTTCTTTCACATAAAGATAATTTTTTTAATCACAGATATACTTTCCATGTCTGATCAAAATTTCTGCTTTATCCATTGTTTATCAGTGTGTGAACATCGTAGATAAGGTCCTCGAATGTATTTTCAAACAAAGTAGCTAAAATCTCCATGCAAATGGCTACCGGAAGTGATATTTGAATACTAAACTACAAAAAAAATGAGGCGGAATTTTTTTTTCCGGACACATTTTATCAAAAATACGATAAAATTAGCAGTGCGGCTACCTCAAAACGGATGCGCGCGGGCCTGAGAACCAGAATTTCAATTTTATGTAGCCTAAAAAAAGAAAATTAAGCTGTTGCACGCTTAAGTCGGCGGCTAGAAGTGACCAACCTTTAAAAACCAGTTCTCTACTACACCTCAAAATCAATTTCTATTGGTCACTCTCTGACCAATCCACACAACATGCGTATAAACATCTTGTCATTAATACAACATTTTCCCGCTATACTAGCGAAACGCGGGAAAATATCATTATTGACATATTGAAATTGGAAATAACTCAATTTTCTATTTTTCCAAGTTGATAAAGAAAACCGAATTATTCCCCTTTTTATTAATGCTAAGATAGATGTTTTTATTAGAAAAACAATTTATTTCTTCTAAATTTACAGAATTTTATGAACTAACTTTTAAAATAATGTTTGGAATAACATTATTTAAAGTTGAATACATATTATACCTAATTTCAGAGAACAAAAATTAAGAAGTAGTAGTTACTATAATTTTATTGAAGAAATGGCTTAAAACAGGTGTAAAATCTACTTCCAAAAAAAAAGCCTGCCTGCCGCATTGAATTTTGAATTTGTTGGCCTGAGAAACTATTAATTTTTTTTTTGGCCTAAAGAACAGATTTACAATAGTAAAATTATCTGAGTAGATACAAGGGGGAGTTGGAGAGACCCGTCAACAAGAGGGGGGTTTGACCCTGACAGGAGACAAAATGGAATACACAGGGGAGGATTTGATAGGGGAGGGCGAACATATCAGCGGTCACGGACCAGTGAATCCTGGGACGACGATGGTAAGATTTTCATCTGATCTTTTCCATGCTTAATCAAAATGATGTATTGTTGATACAAATTAATATTTGAGAATTGTTTTAGAAATTTTACCCGAGTGGAGCATGCCTGATTCAGATGACGTGGAAGAAGTTGGAACTTTTGATTCAAGTGGAGCATTTGTCTCGACAAAGGTAATAATAACATTATAATGGAATTCTATTTTCTTATCACCTTTGACATTCCATGTAATCAGAATATTCTTTATATATTCCTATATAATTGTTGAAATTATCTGAATCTTTACAAGCATCATGTTTTCATGGCTACAAACAAAATGTGCTGACACTGACCGAGGTGTTTATGTTTGACAACAGACAAGGTCTAAAATCCATGCTAGGCAATTAAGATAACAGAAAGATGGCTCTGAAAAAAAAGAAATACAAACTGACTTATAATGTTAACTATCAGGAAATGTTGGATGGTTTTATGTTTCTCCAAGTACTTGAATACTGAATTTGATATTTGATGCTTAGACCTATCAATTTAGTATCTTTTTACTCATTCACGACACTAAAATATGATGAACACAATGTTCCTTTTCTTCAAGATATTTCTAAAACAAACCTTCATAAACTGCAAGCCTGCAGAAAAATATTAGAGGTCTAGATTTATAGATTGTCTTTAAGTTGTCTTGTTGTTCTGAACAGCCTGAAGATTTAAACAATAAAGACAATCAACAAAAGGAAGCAACTGCTAAATCTCCCCCATCGGACACAAAAGATTCAGGTAAAGTGGAGTCCAAACAGCATTCAAAGGAAGAGCCCTCTAAACCCTCAGACAAAACAGAGGAGAAAGTGCCTCCCAAAAAACAGGACAAGGTGACGGAAAATAAAACTGTGATATCTAACACTAATCCACAACACAACAAAAAAGCTGAAAAACCAAAGAAAGAGGAACTAAAAAAGGAGGACAAATCTGAACAAAAAAATAGTGCTCAAAATTCTGGTGATGATAACAAAAAACAAAGTGCTACGCTTGCTGCGGGTTCTGTACAAAGTGCCAAAACAGATACAAAGAGGGAGGAAAAGGAAAGGGACCAGCAACCAGCACCAAAAAAGAAGGGGGTTACTGTGTCTGAGGTAGAGAGGGAGGCACTGGATAGACTGCAGGACACCGCCGAAAATATGGTTCTATCGGCAATGACTGCTGAGGTAGGCTAGAGTTAGATAAAAATTGAGAGTTCTGTATTGATTTAATTGAGATTTGTGCTATAAATGTTGAAAGCAATGCTTAAGTTATAGAATTAGTTTAATACATGCATATGAGAAATATAAATTCTGGGTGATTGATTTAGCATTGTTAAAAATCAAGTCTTACTGTAATCTGTATTATGTAAAACTTTAAAAACTTTTCTTTTTGTAATATAAGGAAGAAGAAAAAGAGATAAAGAGCAGTCCAGTCCCCCCTACTGTGCCTCAATCCACTCCCAGCATGCCCCAGATCTCCCCCAGTATAGCAGTACCAATGGACCATGAAAACGCACAGAAATGGTTTTACAGGGACCCCCAGGGAGATACACAAGGTGCAAATTATGCATTCAATTCATTGATATTTTTAGATGATTAATTAAACAAATTCAGTTTTGAATACTTCTGACTTATTTTTCAGGTCCATTTACATCCAATGAAATGGCTGAGTGGTTCAGTGCGGGCTACTTCACCATGGATCTCTTTGTCAGAAGGGGCTGTGATGACAAATTTTCTGCTTTAGGTAAAGTTAATACCACACAGGACTGTTGAAATCACTGCTTTGTTGAAAACTTAGGACCACAGCTATAAATATGATTACTATTTGTAGGTGAACTGATTAAACGCTGGGGACGTGTCCCATTTTTACCTGGGCCAGCTGCTCCACCATTATTGGTATGAAGTCTTCGTATAGAATATCAAAGGAAATTGTCTTGGTACATGTATAAAGAATGTTTTATTTAAGAACAGTATCCCGGTGACTTGACACTTGTACATCATTTTACAGAATGCACCCCCTGCAAGTCAGCCCAGTCTAGAACAGTTACACTTACAACAACAACAGGAGCAACTTAAGGCTCTACATGCTCAGTATCTCCTCCAGCAACAAGTCATGCAACAGCAACTGCTAAGGTAAATCTGGTGCATGGATACCATGATCTATTGTGTCTCCCCTAACTCAAATCGAAAGGGAATTATGGAATTGTGTCATCCCTGCAATGCCTGTTTATCTCGCTTTTTAAGTGGGTAGCTGCAAGGTTAAAATCATTGATGGGTCAGTTTCCAGGAATCACATAGGATATCTTAACCCAACTTTCAGATATTGGTGCATTATTGAACAATTTCTCCTTTTATTTTTCTTTTTGAAAATGTATCAGATTGTTGTTGTGTTTCTTGTGCACCTGGGATTAGATTAAAGCACAAAAACTGGATTAGTACTTTTTGACGTTTTGTTATTATAGGTAATAATAATAATGTAATTCCTTGTTTTACAGACAATTCCAGATGCAGCAGATTCAGCAGATCATGCAGCACGTACAGGAGAACAGTCAGTATAAGAACCTGTCCCCCGCCCAACAGAAACAGATCGCCATGCAGCTGATGATGAAACAGACCTCCCCCGTCATGTTACCAATGCAGCCCAAACTATCTCCAAGGTACAACTTTGTAAATTTGTACATTGTGTGTCCATGGAATTTTGATATTTATCTAATAAGCATCATTTTGAAAGTTACTTATTATGTAAGTTTTGTTGATTTTTTTAAATTCAAAGCCTTTAATAAGTATAAGTGAGATGCAATGTGATTTGAAAATCTACCATATCGATGGAAATTTTGGGCATTTTATTTTGTGCATGAGTTTGAAACTTTAAAATGTTTTATTTCACATTAAATTTATATTATATTATAGATCCCCACCCACAGAGGCAGCAGCTGATCATCCACCCACCTCATCTAGTCACCCCTCATTTCACCGCTCCATGTCTCAACCCAGTGATTTACCGGTAGAGGAGGGCTCAATCTGGGGCGGCGTCCAGCCCCCCGTACCCACAGGTAAAATATACTCAGAAGATGCTTATCCAGTATCTGTAAAATCGTAGTGAATTCCAAATCTTCATGGTGAGTTTTTATTTCAGGTGCAAATCCTAATAGTGTGTGGGATGTAAATCCACACTCAAGGTCAACTCCAGATTTAGAGCAAGAAAGAGTGAGAAGGGTATTTATCCAAAACATTACAGTCTAGAAGTTGTAAACATACACAAAGTTTTCAAAAAATAATGTGACTGCACTGCTTTATCTGCAGGAAAAAGAGGAGGAGTTAATGAGAAAGAAACGAGAAGAGGAAGTGAAGCGTGAACAGGAGTACTTAAAGAAGCAGGAAGAACTACTGAAACAACAGCTGGAAATCCAGAGAGAGAAAGAGGAGATGGAGAGAAAGAGAGAAGAGCTGAAGCTACTAGAATTACAGGTAAAGAAATATGGAATCAGGATAAAAACTCTGTGAAATTATCGCCAGTCTCTTTACTGTGAATATTTTTGACAGTTGATTATTTGTATTGCAGAAGATTGAAGAAGCTCGGAGAAAAGAGGAGGAGACAAGGAGGAGACAGGAAGAAGAAGAAAGACTTAAAAAACAAAGAGATGAAGAACTGAGGAAACTGGAGGAGCTCAGGAAGAAAGACGAGGAAATGAGGTCAGATCATAAATATCGATGATTGTTTGATATGAAGAAAAGAGTTATAAATAAATTTATTGGAGTTTAATTCATTTAGAACTGAAGGAGTGATAGGGAAACATGAATTTACTTTTTTTCTTAAATATTGAAAAATATTTTTGTTGTTATGAGATGGATGCCTTTAAATCTAAAATTAAATGGTAAATTAATAAGTATATTGTGATTTTTTTTTACAGACAAAGAGAGATGAAGAGACAAGAAGAACTGAAGCGACAGGAAGAACTGAAGAGACAAGAGGAATTACAAAGACAACAGCAGGAGATGTTCCGACAACAAGAACAGAAGAAACGAGAGCTGGAGGAGCTGGAGAAACAGAAACAACTGGAGTTACAACGACGACAGGAACAACAAAGACAACAACAGGAGGCCCTGAAAAAACTCCAGCAAGAACAACTGGCCAATATCCAGGTAAATAGCTGTTGTCAGTACATAAACAAATATCTTTTTCTTTTACATGTGTTAACATATGATTGGGTCAGAGGGAAAAGTTTTACAGTATTTATGTTTATTTATATTCCAGCTGCCCTCTCATGCACAGTGGGGAAGCCAACCAGCAACACAGTCCCCCCAGAAAACAAAGTCTCTGTTAGAGATACAGAAACAGGAAGAGATTGATCGAAGGGAGAAAGAGGAGGTAAGAAGAAGAAAGTGTCAATTTACTAATTTAAAAAAAAATAAATAAACAGACATAGGAATGTATAGGTACACTTGCTAGATAAAAAAAAAATCACTGTAGAATGATCTCTGAGTTGTTTCCCTTTGAAATAAATGACGGGTTAAGACTTAAATCATTAAATTTCAAAAGATTTTTTCCCCATAAACCCATCTTTACCATAAACCACCAATACATCTATTTAAAGGATCCCCTCTTTTTCATGGGGGAAAAGAGCTCTTCATTATTAGTCAACAAACTGAATTGGAATGACAATGTAGGTCTATGATTAAAGAACATTTATTGGGTATCAAATTTGTACTCTTGTGCATCATGATAAGTCATTTTTGAGGCGCATCGTTTTCAAAGAAAATGCAGCCTCAGAGACGATCACCTGCCAACAACAACAACAGAAATCATGCGGCGGCAAATGACTAACAATATTGATCTCTCTTTAACACGTTATTAAAAATAGTGCTAATGTACATTGACAAGTTGGGCCATATAAAATTTTGTTTGTCTTGATATTGTGATCTGTACCCCCGCGCGCATTTCCTTCATTAAAACTTGTGTCTGCATTTGATGATTTTATTGTATTTTTGATAAACCATAAAAAGTTATATTGCAATTTTCACAATTTGAGGAAAGAAATTCACTACTCATTTTCAGTTTACTTGAGTTTTCAAATATCACTTCCGGTAGCCATTTACAATGAGATTTTGGCCTATTCATTAATATTAAAATACATTCAAAGACATTACCTACGATCATTACAAGCTGTTAAGCAATGGATAAAGCACAAATTTTGAAGAAAGCTGGAAAGTATATCTGTGATTAAAAAAAAAATCTTTATGTTAAAGAAAATGGTTTCAGTCAAATTAAAATGTTCTTAAAAAAAAACATGGTCATGTACTTTTTTGCCAATAAAATGCAAAATAAAATGCCGCCCTCCCGCATCTGTTTTGGACTAAATATTCATAGCATGTTCAGCTCATGGAATTAAATTTAGATAGCCTTGGCGATATCCATTGTGTGTGTCTTAAACAGCTAATAACATAAAATCTCACACATACATGTTGTTTTTACTTTGAATCAACAGAGGTTACAAAAAATGAGAAAATGAACAATTAAAACAAAGAGAGAAAACAACAACAAACATGCCCTGCGCGGAGTAAGATCTATTTGCATAACAACAGCTCGTACTATAAATTACTCGGTTTTGTATCGGGTTCATAATAAACTGTATACCACGCCCGATTGTTTATTTAAGTCCCGTATAATTTACATGAACATTTCATGTATATAACATTTGTTATATATTGTGCAACATTTATATTGGGAAATCAAGTTCAAAACAAAGTAGTTATTTATAAAAGTTCACATAATGAAAAATTTGAAATAATTCAGATATGAAATTATATAAATTTCTTCAATAATCATTACTAGTAATTTCTATATTGACATTCATTATTTCATTTTTAAAAGTAAAAGAATAAAAATAAAAAAGAATTAAAATACAATTAAAATCAATTATGATTTAATTTAAATATCAACGAATTATAACCGATATATCAGATTATCTTTTTTAAAAAAAAAAAAAAATGTTTTTCCTCTCCTTCACATGATCGGTTGGCTAAAACTCAGAGCCATGGCTCAATTTTTTTAACCTCAAAGAAACGTTAGTTATTTTTTAAATTCTTATTCCTGGATTCATTCATTCCCTTAACATTGATGTTGAATTTCTCTAAGAAAAAAAAAAGTTTTATACCCTCAATGCGATGCGCCTCTCAGGCCGTCAGGCCTTTGATTTTGTTCATTGTAGCTTCAAAGAAAATTGGAGAATGAGAGACAACAGATGATGGCCTTACAGCAACAACAACAACAACAGAAATCATGGTCCAGTCAAATGTAAGAATTAATAACTCTCTCTTTATCATGTAAAAATGAATAAATTTAATAAGTGTTCATCAAGTATTGTTTATCTTCAGTTTGCATTTAAAACAATATACCAGGTAATGTAACTGGAGTGTTTGTTTGTCTTGATATTGTGATCTGTACCCTTACAATGTCAGCTGCTGTCATTTCCTTCATTAAAACTTGTGTCTGAGATGCATTTGATGAAAATATTTATCAGCATTTTAGTTTGATGTCAATCACCAACCCATGTAAAAGATATATTCAATTTTCACAATTTGAGGAAAGAAATACACTGTACTCATTTTCAGTTTACTTGATTTTTGACAATAAATCATAGCATGAACCCCCTTGCCCCAATGCAAGTATGATAATTTTCTATTTACATTTATGTTAACCTATTCATTAATATTATAAAATATTATGGGAAAAAAAACAAACTTAAAATCATCTCAAGAACAATTAAGGCCCTGTAGGCACACAATCAAGAAGGGAGCTGTTAGAAGTTCCCTTCTTATTTATAAAAATAAAAACAAAATCTTCATAAGATGGAAATGGTTTCAGTCAAATTATTAGTACCCATGTTCTTAGATTTAATTTGATCAAAACATGGTCATGTTTGGCCTTTTTATGACAGAAGTAAATTGCAAGGGCTTAAGTTGAGGCGCTTGCATTTTGAAGTATGTTACTACATCATATTCATAGCAGTGTTCAGCTCATGGTCTCGTTATCCATAGAGTGGAGTTGCTGGAACATTTGTGTGTGTCTTACATAATGAATGAAAAACTGTGCAATCATGTATACTGTTAATCAGCTATTATTTGCATCTTTTAATTGCAATTCATCAGATTTAAATCATTTTGAAACTAAGGAAACATCTTTATACAAATGCAAAGCAAAGTGTATGCTGCAATTTATATTTTCAAGTTCATTTCTTACACATGAATAAATCTTGAATACTGTTCGTTATCTCCATATGTTTCATTCAAGTACATGTACTGTGAAATCACAAATTTTTGTTAGGTTTAATTTTCTTTGTTTTAGAGGTATGAATAGATCCTCGAATTCATGTCCACCACGAAATGTAAACACATACATAACAACTCAACAATTCTTCATCTGTGAAATCAAATTCATGAACCAAGATTTTTTCCTCAAACTAGGAAAATTTGACCCCATGAAAATATTTGATCTTACAGTACTCCACGAAACTCACATATGTTTCTTACCCATCAATAAAAATTGGTTTACAGTATACAGATGAATTTCTTTTCCAGCTTCATGATAGCATTTTTTGGCAAGTTTTTAAAATTGAATTTGGTGACTTCTATGAAGCAAGTTAAAAGAATACAGCTACAGCTAAATTTTACAAGGCTAGATGCCATTTTATTTGCAGATTTCCTAGCCAGCAACAAAGCATGAAGACATTACTTGAAATTCAGGAAGAACAGAGGAAATTAGAAGAAGAAAAACAACAAAAACAGCAACAAAGCCAGGCCAAGGTTAAGCTATCAAAAATTAATTCCCTGGTTCTCAGGCCATATATCAGTTTCTCCAAAACAGCATTGTCCGGAGGGACGGCATTTTATTTTTCATTTTATTGGCAATAAATTAGATGAGGGAGATATTTTTTTTATTTTAATTTTGTCTCTCTTCTTTAACATAAAGATATTTTCTTTTTTCATTACAGATATACTTTCCATTTCATGATCAAAAAAAATTCTACTGTAACCATTGCTTAACAGCATGTAAACATCGTAGGTAATATCCTCGAATGTATTTTCAAACGAAGTAGCCAAAATTCATTGTAAATGGCTAAAAAAAGTAATATTTGAATAGGTGTTCTAAACTATTCGAAATGTTAATTTTTGAACCCCGTTAATTTTTTTGCAAAAAATCTTCTTGCGCATTACAACTTTTTATTTTATCAAAAATACAATAAAATCGGCAATGCGGCTACCTCAAAACGGATGCGCGCGGGCCTGAGAACCAAGATTTCAATTTTTTATGGCCTTAGTTTGCATACTGTATTTCATGACTTTTACAGAAAGAAGAATCTTTTAATAATGAATATCCATCACAGAATTCAGGATCTGTTCTTATTGACTAAAATAATCTTTTTTCTACAGCAAAACCTAAGCCTGGGTGCAGCGAGTGCCTGGGGAGGGGGTCTCATCTCCTCCTCCCACTGGGCCAGTGAGGGGGCATGGGGGAATGCCGCCCGTCAGTCATCTACTGCTAACAGCAGTGCCAGTAATGGAGCCGGGTCTCTTGGATTCTGGGATGATGCCATTATATCCTCAAAACGAGCTACTAAACCAAGGTAAGTCATTCAAGGTCATCAATACATTGAAGTAGCATTTTGCAATAACTTAACATGTTTATATGTAAAAATGGTGCGGTAATGAAATGTGTAATAAGTGTAGCATGAAGTATATTATGGGTTTACTTAAAAAAGGCTTTTATTTGTACATTTAAAACAATATACCAGTCTGCCTGAAATTTTTAGGCACAAAGACTTCAATCTAGAAGGTTGAATTTTACATCTTGATGATACCATAGTAGCCCATAATGCATTTCAATGTGTATCAAATTTTGAATTGAGAATTTTTTTTCCAGTAATCAGGGAGGAGTGACTACTGAGTTTCCCACCTTAAAGGGACAGCCTCAGCAGAAAGCCCCACCCACAGCACAATCTAACAAAGGAAAGCCCTCAAAACGAGGCAAAGAAGAGGTAGGTGTGACAATGTGTAAAAATCTTAAATGTAGATTTTAAAAAGATGAAAAAAATAAAGAGGGAAATTTAAGCTCATAGCTGTGTAAAGCAAGTACAACTATATGATATTATGCACTTCATATTGTAACACAGAAATGAAAATTTTACAAAGAAAGGCTTTCTATGTAAGGAAATATTAATTTATTAGAAGAAAACAAGATATTTACAGGGACACGGTATGCCCCTTCGCTTTCTTTGAAAACAAATATCATTGTGACAAAGTCCTATTTTTGTATCAAAACGTTTCTCATAAATGTACAAGTTAAATCAGCATCATCTTTAAAATGAATTTGGCTTAAACATAAGCTTGCTTATTCCTTGTTTTTATCAGGAGGCAGTCCAGAGATTATATCAAGGCATGCAACAGATAAAAATTTCTCTCAGTGGTGTGACAATCTTGAAGGTGTTCTCAAAATTCAGTACATGTATATTTACTTATTTATTTTTCTACATTGTGGATAATAGACATTTGATGAAAAGACGATTAAGTTTTTACTAGGAGTGGCGAGGGGGTTAATAATGTAAAGACATAGTGGCTAATTTTTTTGTTGAACAAGGCACTGAAGGCCCTCAATACATCAGTAGACAGTAAGTACTGATACATTGTAATAATGTTAACAAGGCACTGAAGGCATCAATACATGAGTAGACATTAAGTATTGATATTGCTCTAATTTTGACACAGAGAGAATCAAACATCATGTTTGATTTCTTCCTCATTTATTACAGTGGGATTTTTTTTAAACTTATAAAACTTTGTAGCTTTGAGTCTGTTTGTATTTGCAGTTCCTACTTTTGTGGCATTTTTAAAGGAAGTGGAATCCCCATATGAAGTAAGTTAACAAAATTGTGTTTTATATTTGTTATGCTTTGAAGATACAGGCTTTATCAAACGCAATAGCAGGATAGTGTAGATCTATATTTTGTTTATTGGAAGTTCAGCTGTTCATAGAGACAAAACTGTCGGTACGAAAGACAGAAAAGTAGAAACTAAAGATCTTGGGGGGGTGGGTGGGGGGATATCCGCTTTTTAAAGGATTTGAAATGCAGTTAAAGCAGTTTTTGGGATTGTACATCATGATCATCTGTTTTTGTCATTTATTAAGCAATTTTTTTTAACTTAGATATACCGCTTGGATTGCTACGCATACAGGTGCCCTACGGAAGAAATAATAAACCATGTTAACAGTTTACAACTGAATTTGTTTAAAAACCACGATATGCTCAGAGTTAATTTTGCAAACATACCAATTTCAAAATGTTATAACTTTGTTTTAAATGAAGATATTTTGATTCGTTTTCAGTTTTTGTAATGGTTTTACATGGACCATTAAAAAACACAAAAATCTCAAATTCGATAAATTTTGCCATAAGGTCGATTTCTATCCGACGAGGCTCATTTGTTATCATTGAAGCATAATGTATAAAAAAAAAAAGAAACTTGTATATTATTCTTTGAGACATAAGGTAGCTTATCGTAATTGTATTGCCTTGATGCGACCTAAAGATATAGTGAAGTTATTGAATGTAAGACTCTCTGTGTTGAATCAAGTGTGCCCCAAAATATTGCATACTATAAGTGTAACTTATTTATAAAGAATATGTGTTTAGACACTGTACAATATGTTTTTTCAGGTCCATGACTATGTCCGAGTGTATGTTGGGGAGTCCAAAGGTGCACAAGATTTTGCCAAACAGTTTCTGGAGAAACGAAGCCAAAGTCGAAACAGAGCTAGACAACCAGTTGAGGTATATTTCAAGTTTTTTAACTGTAGAATTTTGTAATTTAAAAATAAATATCTTCACTTAAAATTTGGTATATTTAAATTGTATATTCTCATCTTAAATTGATAAAAAATTCTACTATGTTAAAAATCTTACATTTCTGCAACCATCCTTATTGACCTATACAATTTTTTGTCACTTTAAATTCAATCATTGTAAAATTTCGAATGAAAAAATAAAAACTATGTTGTAAAACTCCTTCATATTACTCATATACACATCACTTAAGTTGTTATTTCAGGATATTTGATAAAAAAAAATTTTGTATCATCTGTCCTTAAAAGAAAATTAACTTTCAAAAAAAAAAACCAACCTCAGAAAAAGACAAAATTTATTTATCGAAGTCTTGTACATACATTGAACATTGCAAGTATTTGCTATGCACTTCCCAGGCCTTTTGCTTATGTTAAGTGTTTTATTCAAGTGTATTTATTTCCTGTTTGTAGGACAGTATTTGGGGTCCAGCCCCAGCCAGAGATTTTCGTCAGTCCGGCGGGAATCAGAACAACGACTCCGATACACAGAAAGCCAAGGGAAAGAAGAAGAAGAAGATGCAGAAAATTGACAGCAGTATTCTGGGATTTACGTGTGCCGCCGACCCAGATCGCATCAACGTCGGGGAAATCGATGCTGACGGCACACCAAAATGAGATGGATTTTATCAGGAAAACAGAGGAAAATTTTATAACAGAAATTGTGAATAATGATTTGGTGACAACAATTTCTTTATTATGTGTGAGAACCTGGTGGTAGTTTTACTATTGGCTTTCTATACCCTGTATGTACGGACGTACGGGAAGTGATCGGGGCCCAGAAGTGAGCAGTCAGCCCCGGACACGATGACCCAGCCACTGGTTACAGCTCTCACAGAAATATATTGTTTTAGCATATCACAACTGACAAACTGTCTCCTGTTCTACCAGCCTAGGTTTTAAAATCTTTCTGTCTTAATATGCCAAAACATGACTTTTTAGATTTTTTTTTCTTATGCTTTTGAAAACTGTACTTTTTTTAAAAATAATTGAGGCCCAATTTCAAAGAAGCTTTTCACTACAAGTAAGCATTAAGCCAGAATTAATTTGCTAAACCCTGTGTGAGCTCCAATATAGCAAGCTTTTATGTTTATAGAGAATTTATAGATATATAAACTAAGCTACTGGGTTAGTGAGCTCTTGTCAGGGCTGTGCAATAATTTGATACACAAAATCATGTACTGATATTTTAATGAAAAACAATTTTACTTAGACCAGGAATGTCAGTTGATTTTCATTTAAATAATTCTAAACCTTTCAAATCTGATTGATTTAAACTGTAATTGAAATATTTCTCTGCTAATCTGTGATATAAAAAGAGACTGAATCTGAATTTCATGTTTATACCACTTTTCAAAATCCTAAAATACTCGTTTAAAGTATGTGAGATATTTTGTTACTATTTTGAAAATGAAAAATTTTAAAAATGGATTTTTTTCCTGTTAAGCAGTTGGTGTTAACATTCTGATGAATAACGGGCTTACTCCGGGTTGGAGAGAGTAATTGCCCTTTGTTACATGTGTTGATGATAATATCATCTGTTCTAGATCTTTGTCAGGGCCTAAGGCCAGGGTAATGTCAGTCCAGAACAGATGGTAAAAAGTTCAATAAAAAATTAAAACAATAGGTTTCATTTTATTTGTTAATCAGTCTGACAGGGTTTGGTGAAACAAGAGGGTCAACACACGATTGACCGTTTACTTTGCTAGGGATGTGATGTTTACGGAATCTAGACCGTTGACCCAGTACAAGGTGTTTAGTTAGTAAACGATGATGCAACTTTATCTACCGATTATCACGTGCATCAGGCCCCGGGCACGGATCCAACCCTTCTGTTCATGGGAAATGTTATTTATAAGAGGCCTTTATTAAAACTTGAGAGAAATGCTTCGCGTGGTTTACTGAAAATAGAAACGGTATTAAAGGTGTCTATTTATTAGGACACACTCGTGTCTATTTATTAGGACACACTCCAATTAAGACTTGGAAAAGACATTATAAACACCACTTTTGAAATGAGAACTCTGAAGTAGTATGCTGATATTTTGGTTGTCAACTGTCCTCGATTTACATTTAATGTAGAAGTCGCTGAAAAATCAAAGTACTTGAATAGCACTGGATAACTTTGCCGTGCAACAGTCGTCGGTCGCCAAGGCGGCACACCGATACTCCAAGTCCTTACCTCTCTAGATTTTAATGTATTTAATGCGATATCAAAAAAAAATATATATTACTCAGATACTAGTATATCACCCTATATCATGATATCGTCAGCAATTGAAAATGTGAAGTAATAAGTTGGACCTATGTCATTTTCTGTTTAGCGTCCACTGTATAGTTTTACGATTGTACTGGAATAAGTATAAGATACATTTATGTGTAAATTGACTGATTAATTTTTATAGATAATAACTATAATATACAATAAACCAAACAGATATTCTTCAGTCGTTTGTATAGGGTTTTACAAGTGTTTTATGCATGATAGTTTCTTGCATTATGATAGCATAACTTAGTGCCCCCAAAGAGGAAATGACGCAAAAGTACTCTGAAGGCACTAGTATCAGACTTCTGAAGAATTTATCTTACGTCACCGAGTCAATAAAGTAAATTTTTGTCTGTCTGTAGTTTAGATTTTAATCAAACAATTGCCTAATGTTTCTCATTCTTTGTTACGTTTGTTTGTCTAATGACGGCCCGCGGTGAAGATTTCGTCGCGTAGTACGCTCATTACGGCTAACCGACCAAGGAGTAAGCACTTCCAGGCACATTGTCATCCCGCACCAAAAAAAGGACAAGATTTTATTCGCTAGTAAATTATGTGTCCAATCAAACGATAGTCACGATTTGCTGCAAAATCTTGATAGTCATGCCTAAGTAACTTTCAAAAGTTCAAGATCTTGATGTAGCTTCTAGGACAGTTACTTTTGTAAATGTCAGGCAGAATAATGAAGTAAATACACTACTATCTATGAAACAAGCACCAGTAGCAAACTTTTGTGGAAATGATTGAGACAAAAGGAATAGTTTTTAAGTTTGTGGTATTTTTTCAGACTTTCGGGAGTATTTTAACACTTGTTGTGGAATTAGCTGATTTTGGTGCTGTTTTGTTAGATCCGCCGGGGCGTGGTTCTCTCTGGAGACACAATATATCGGGGGCACCTGTCAACCCCCGAGACCATCAACTCAACTGTGGAGGGGCTCAGGTAAAAATAGATATACAGAACTTAAACGCATCTTTTTGATTACTATCTTTAATTTTAATTTTTCAATATAAAGTACATGTACTTGTATCTGGACTTTTAATAAAGTACAGGGAACATTCTCTTTCGACATTATTTTTCTTCTTTTTAAAATGTAAAAAACGACTTTACTTTGAAAGTTTAGTTGTATAAAAAGTTCTGACTGTGCAAAATTAATTCAAATTCTCATAGTTTGAAACAAAGAACTAATTTATACGGTTTCCATATCACATTTATACTTAACTTATAAAGTATATATGTTGTAATTATAACTTATAACCTTAAAGAAAAGGATAATTCAGCGACCGTTGCTTTTTGTTGAATCATCAGTGTAATTTATCCAGGTGTAGGTTCTATACCCTGTGACCGCGCTATGGTCAGCCCAGAGGAACCCGGGGCGCTTCAGGCGCTAAAATGTGATATTTACGGCGCTTATCGGCTCCCATCTCTTACAAGTGCGATCCTCGACAATCACCGATAATTGGCCTGGTCGCAATTTATTTGTACATTAAATTCCGACACACTGACCCATTTGCCACAACACTTCATTTATTTTCCTTTAATTTTTTGGTGTACAAAATATTTTAAAAATTTTGTTTTTGAGAAATCATAAAAATCATTTTATTTAACTAGACTAGCTGTACGCGTGCAAGGGGAAAATTGCATGTACATGTACCAACAAATTATCTGTGAAATAAAAGAGAAAAATATGGTAACGACTCATTAGCATATAGTTGTTTTAATTTTAAACCTCTTTACATCTTCAAAGAGTGACTGAAGCAGCATTGGCCAACCCCCGTTCATTGTCGCATGTCTCTTGTCCATCTCAAATTTTTCTGACTTTAATTGCATGTCTATACATTTCATTCAAGTGATCAGCTAAATGTAATTTTTACGGACTTTTTCTTGTCAAGTAAAGGTTCATTTACTTTTAAATTATTGCGACAAAACAATAAAAAGATGATTTGGGAAAAAAAGGTACACCGTACAGTGTTTTTTTTTGTATTTATTTATATACCATTTTATAAAAAATTGACGAGAGAAAACTTTGACGAGGTAAAGTCATTCGTCAAAATCGTCAATGTTTCCTCCTCGTCAAACTTTCTACTTTTACAGTATTTTATCTATACACGCAAGATACTGAACACAGTATATTGTAATCATTTTATTATAAACATTCCATGATATGATTCTTTTTTAATTTTAGATCGAACAAGTAGTTCTTATTCTATCGATTACACTTTATTCAATGATTGTACTGAAAATAAACCATGATTATGCTCTCGTCTCTAACCAGTTTTTTGCATTGATAATAAGCCGCTATTTGAAAATAAGCCGGTTTTGAAAATAAGCCCCCACTTTCTTACCAAAAATTAAAATTAAAATAAGCCGCGGCTTATTTTCAAGGTTTTAGGGTATATATTATGGTAAAAGGTAAGAAATAATCAGTCATACAACAGTCATACAATGCATAATTAACAATATCAACAATACCAGTAAGGTTCAAGTTACAGTGAAGCTGTAATAGCTATTGTACGGAAGGCCACTTAGAACCTTTTAAAAATATTTTGAATGCTATATATATAGCATTTTTTCGTTAAGACAATGAAATCTGAAATATTTGTACCTTTATACACTATTATGTTCTCAATGTTCAACAACTGCATGATCATATGATAGTTGTATTTGTTTACAGTACTGCAATACTATTTTTTTTTTTTAAGTTAGGTCAACATAGCTTACGCTGTTTCTATTTGACGAATTAAAAGAATGGACAGCGCGGAATCTTATGAGGTTTAAATTAATGGTACGTTATGTACAAGTGCATACTTTAATGGCCATTTCCTGTCTTTCAGAATCAATGGAGAAATAATAATGGAAAATGTGGGTTATGTGGCGATCCCTGGAATGGACCACGTGATCACGAAATTGGCGGGAAATTTTTCACAAATCACATATCATCTTCATATCCAAGAAATTCTGTGATAAACTTAACAGTTAAAATGCTATCAAACTCTATAGGATGGATGGAGTTTAGAATTCACCCATATACCAAAAATATTGAACAAAATCATTTAGATAGATATTTACTTAAACTTGGAGGTAATCAAACAACAAGATATCGAGTCCGGAAGTCGGGATATCACGTGATACCTGTTTTATTACCGGAATATCTCGAGTGTGAGCGATGTGTACTTCAATGGAAATATCATACAGGTAAGTATTATGAACACTATTTTTTAGGGATGACTGATGGAAATTTTCATATATTAATTTGATAATTTGACAACAAATATATATATTGCGACTAACAGGTACTTTGTGGGGTTGTACTGATGACACCCAGACAGACTGTTGCTATGGCTGCGGACAGGAACAGGAAGAATACTATAACTGCGCAGACATCTCCGTCAAACCGGAGACTGGAATCAACAATCAACAGGACACCAAACTTAAATTTAAAAGGTTTACTTCTATGTGTGATACAATATAATTGGCCCTTTAATTTCCATTCACATAGAGTCCCAGAGTAGTCTCAAAGCAGTCCCACGGCAATCCTAGAGCGGTCCCAAAGGGACTGCTTAGGTGTCAGGTTGGGTCTAGTTTGTAACGTATATCTTTTAACTGGTGATAAAACGCTATAAAATGAAAGTAAATTACAAATTGTACGATTTAAAAAAAAAAATTGAAATAAACAAAGTTGTTATTTTGTGTCAAAGTTTGACAGTGACACCCAGCAGTGATTACCTGAGATGGTGGTGCCTGACTCAGTGTGAAGGGGAGGAGTGTAGAGAACCACCGTGTTCTACCATCTCCCGCCAACGCAGGTCCACGAGTAACTGTCTGGCCGCCGGGGCGTGGAGGGGACAGGCTAACATGGACACGTGGTGTCGGAACAATTGTCAGATAGGCTACTGTCCCGCATCTCACTGTCAGTGTCAAGGTAAGTAATATGTCACATGCTAAGAGGAAAGAGTGAATGTTATCTTATATTTTAATCCTAGTAATTAATTTATCGTGTGTTTGTCATTTTTTTAAGATGTGAGTCCAGTCACTACATCAACTACTAGCACAACCACAACACAATTCACGACGACAACGTCAACTGAAGATCTTTTGACCACGCATGCGCATTCCTCAACCACCACAACTTCGCAGAATGGTAAATGAACGTTGTGAACCGGGAGAGCCCCCCCCCCCCTCCAAGAATTTAGCCAGTAGATCCTTTGAACCATAGAATAACAAAATAATGCTTGCAATGTTTTTACTTTACATATAGAAAATTAGTGCTATTTTTTGTTGTACTCCTTCTTGTGCTTGTCAAAAAAAATCTACTGTTCGGTCCGCTGTATCCACTGGATAGAATTCCTTCCCAGTCCTGCTTTGAGAGATCTACAATATGCTGTTTATCTTTCTATTTTCGGAGATTCTTTTTGACACAGCCACTAATTTCTTATACAAAACACTTCCCATAAGATTTCTTAGTTTCAGGCACTTTTGAATACTTCAAGTCAAGTTCTAATTATCTAATTCTTTTTTTTAAAAAAACCCTTGAATTGTTCCAGCCGTCCTCTGAGTAGGTTTATATTATATATGATAAAACCAGAGACGTCCGATCTTTTGAATCCATCGTACATCAGATATTCCAAGTCGCATCTGAATACACAAAAGTTTCAAGAATACGCAGTTTATAGAATGAAACGATTATTAAAAATCACTTTAATTCAGTAATTAATTTTATTTCTAATTAATGTTATTTTCTTTTGTTCCCCTTAGGAGATGCCCCCGGTATTGTCCGTGTGCTTGTCAGTAGAGGTTGTGAGTACTGTAAGGACAGGAATGATTCTAACTGTGAAGATCTGTACTGTCCTGGATGTAAGCTATACTTTGATACTTAAATTCCATATTCCGAACTTTTGTTTTTCCGAAAGTACATGTACTTACTATTTTTTCGCCACTTAAAAAAAGATCTTGTTTTGTATAAATTAATCAGTATCTATCTTTAGATCTATATGACTTATCCCCAGTGATAGCCCAGTATGTTGTCATGTTGTATTTACTTCCATCTGGAAAATTCAAAATTTATAGCATGACAATTTCTAGACACTTATAGTAGCTGTAGAACCGTGTGTAATTTCTACTTATAATTTTGGATGAATGTCAAGATCGTCTACCATTTTTTTTTAAATGAGCTACACACCTGTACCTATATTTCCAAAAAATAATTAGGAATAAAATAAAATTAATTTAATTTCAACGGCTCATCAAAAATCTTACGTCCCCACCTCTGGTAAGAAATACCAATAAATCAGTTTTAAAAAAATTAAGACGAGGAAATGTCGATAAATATATCGTTTTAAAAAGTAAAAGTTGTGGCAATGAATTTCGTAGAAAAGGGATTTCTATGATAAATTGAATGTTTGCAGATATTAAGCACTGTACTATGTTTTTAAAAAAATACTTATTTGTTACAGACAACGCTGCAAATATTGTAAATAAAGGTAAGTGAATCTTAGATTTACCGTTTACAGTTGAATTTGACGATAACATTTAAAAATAGTTAGTTGTTTGGTTTTGGTTTTGCTTTTTTTTTTTTTTTTTTTTTTTTTTTTTTTTTTTTTTTTTTTTACACCAGAACCAAATTAAATTAAATAAGTTTTACTCATGCAGGAACCTTAACCCAAAAAATAACAGAGCTCTCGGATTATTTTTGTACAACGTGTGACATCGCAGATTCCATCTGTCAGAAACTGTTTTGTAAGTCGAGATTGCAAACAATCGAATTATAGTATGATTGTCAAAATATATAATAAAGTTCGCTCAACTTGTCAAATAAATGACAACTTTCCTTTATTGTTAGGTTCTCGCGAAAAATTAATGGTAAGTCTGGGACTTCACACAAAATGTCGGATCTGTGAGCTGACGGGGAACTGTCTGAATTACCCTGAGTGTGAGTATACTCACAGAGATGTCCAGCGTTACTATAAATATCTACTTAACGAAAAGCTCAAATATAAACTTGTTGCTGTATATACACAGATTGCAAGAAAGCAATTCGAACACTTTCAGAATATATGTACCTTTATCATTAAATAAATTCATAAAAGTTATAAATAGTACTTTGACCATATTTTGACAGGTGATCAGATAAACGGAAAGGGTACTACCACCACCAGTACTGTCACCACCCAACCCACCACCACCGTTAGTAAGTAACCACTGTAACTAATTTCATTGCATGTAAATATTTACTATTTATCACAATCTATCGTAGATGTGTTTATAAGACAAACCATTTGTCGCATTATAATCCTGTTACAAGAGAATTTTAACTTCTTCCAAATAAAAACAAATTCAGTGTTTTGACTTTGTGTAAAATGTTTAAACAGACACAGTACCGATGAAGAGGACATGTGTCGCCATTAACTACTACGCCCAGATTATTGGAATGGACCAATGGTGTGAAGACAACTGCGGAACTACGGCTGACATCAACTGTTACCCAGAGGTCTGCCAGTGTTCAGGTTTGAACCTTTCAAGATATGGACCTTCCATTATGATGAAAAATGCATTTCAGTATATATTTAAAATAGTTAAACTTTTGAAAGTCATTATCATTTTGTGGTACAGATCCTTCTATGCCGTTGGTACAGAAGTTGGACACAGGTGACGTCACAACATGCAAGGCCATAGGTCAAGTCGCCAACATTCCCGGCATGGATAAATGGTGTACAGATAACTGTCCCACCAACTGTCCAGAAACATACTGCTCATGTCAGTTTGAATTCAATGCTTTATATCTTTCCATTTGAAATTCTTCAGATTTTTTTCTTGATCCATTAATATAAAAATTTGCGAAATAAAAATTAGAATGGTTTTAGATTACTTACTACTACATGTACTTCACCTTGTCTATGGTCTTTTATTAGGTTCGGTACAACCTGTTACACAAGCTCCAACCACCACAAAAACGACAACAACGACAACAACAACAACAACAGCTTCTCCTACAATGACGTCATACAGGACAACTACTAAAGCAGACGACCCCACGGAATCAACAGCCACATTTACCACGCCATCACAAACAACACCCTCCTATAGAGGTATTAAAGCAGAGAGGAGATTCCGGAAAAAATCTAAAATATATATAAAAAAATTTTAAATATGAACTTTACAGCAGTAGAATATTTTATACTAGTGTTTACAAAAACCAATTCTCTGAATGACATTTAAAGATTTAACTTTCATTCCATATAAACAATAATTTTTTTTTTAGGAGCGGATTATTACTCCATAAATGCCATGAACGGGATAATGTGTAACATCTGTAGGAGTGACCTTGACCTTTATAGGGGGTGCTCAGATCAATTTTGTTCCAGATTTGACAACAGTAAGTCTGTCTGTGTCCTGTTCAGATTAAGAGCATCAGTGTACGAATAATTGTCTTTTAGAGAATGTTTATTTGAATAACAGCGGTATTTGTGACTATTTTTAATAACAATTTTAATTTACTTGTATCTGAATTAAATGTAATCAGTTTTTTAAAAAGAATATCTATGTTTGTGTGTTACAGGTGTTGGTGATCCGGTGGACAAAGTTGGTAAGCGAACATATGACTTGTTTTATAATTTCTATAGATAATTAACGGTATTGGCTTTGCGCTGAAAATATCTTTGGGTTCAAAATAATTATGCATTCATCCATATATTTGCATTCTTTGACATCATTTCAGACCGAGCGCTGAATTATTCTCCGGAACTTTTCTGCGGCATCCAGAACAAAGATTCAGTATTCTGTAGGTGTATCTATTACAACTATAATATTTTTTGAGCATGCATATTTCACATCATGGAAATGATTATATAAAATATTTTAGATATAAAAATCATCATACTGTCTCATTATTTCTATAATAGGTGAGCCTGCTCCTATCATCCGCCCCTTTATTCTGAGTTCCATGTGTTCCTCTTGTATTTACCTTTCGCCGGATCAAAACTGTAATATGTATTGCAGCAGGTAAGATACCAGAATTAAAACTGTTCACATATTGAACAAAATCCCATCTGTTTTACAATGTTAAAATGGGAAAGTTATTCAGTTATTATTATACCAGGTAGGATTGTTTACCTATTGTGCCAGGTAAAATACCCAAAGTGTTCACGAATTGAACTAGGTAAACTACCCAAAGTGTTCACCTATAGTACCTGCATCTTCGCTAGCCAAGGGTTTCTGAAACGCTACTCTCCTCATAAATCAGGAGGAGAGAAGTGTATCAGAAACCCATGGCTAGCGAAGATGAAGTACCAGGTAAAATGCCCCAAGTGTTCACCAATTGTACAAAGTAAAATACCCAAAGTGTGCACCTTTTCTTACAGATACAAATCCCTTTCTTAACCTGTTGTACAGGGTAAAATGCCAAAATTATTTAACTATGCTAATAGATAAAATACCAAAACTTCTCACCAAATTAACCAGATAAATTCCCTTTGAACACTGGAAACATAGGTATCAACAAATCTTTATGGACAATTCCTGAAAACTGAAATAGAAGGGACAGTTAAAAAGTTGACGATGGTGTGGGGTGCCTCTAACGGGAACTGAAAGGGGGGTTACCAGAGTAACTGGGTAATACTTTCATTATAGGCGGATCGAGGAAGTTGATCAGTTTTTAATAAATTTGATTTTGTACATTTTCAGTTCCTGATGAACGAGATTCAAAGCCGAGGCCAAGCTAAAAGAAATCCAATAATTCAATAGTGCATCATGTTGTACGGGTAATCTCCGTGTGAAATACTATGTTTTAAACAGTATTAATAGTAATTTGTGTGTGTTGATTTTAAGTGTTTTCCAAGGTTTTATTTTTGATAGACTAATCACTGACATATTGTAAATACTAGTTGGTGCTCTTCTTTTTGTCCTAAAATGTTTATTAGTATTTTCTTGTTTATGAATATTCATATGAAAGAGATCGTTCTCTTTTCGGGCCTAACGCTTACAAATACATGTACATTAAATTTGTTTAAATCAAACTTGAATGACGCAGGTAACGATTCTGCGTACTTTACGTGTTTGATGTACAAGCTAATGCTGTTAATAAAGATTAATAAAAGTGTCACCCAAGAAATCTACGAGCTTCCTGTTATGTTAAACTTCTTCTGATTTCCTACAAGGATTTCATTCAACACGCAGTGTTTTCTACACCCTGTTCTCGTGTTTTCTCCCTTGTTTGATATAGAAGACATGATGTAGGCGACAACAAATGTCCACTTCAAGAAGCCTGATTTCAGACGATTTTTGACACAGAACATGACTTCGCTACATGAAGGAACTCCTAACATCATAACAAATTCGTGGGTTTCTCTTTTTAAGGATTTTAAAATATCTTTAATTAGATTGACAAACAGAATAACGACTTCCTCCAAAACTGACATTCATCTGTTAATTCATTCACATGGTGTGTCGTTAATGGCGATGTTTATTCTCTGTTAGGGGAAAGGATTTTTTTTAATTTTATTTGGGTAACTGGGTATCAGAACGATAGGGAAATACAACATAGACAAACCCCATACCGCCTTCCCATAAAAGCAAGAAAAATAATGATAAGCAGAAAAAAATGCGAGTTTGAATAGAGACGTCTTCGGTTACAGAGTCAAAATTTCAATTAAGTTTTGGAGGGCAGGGTGTTTATACCTTTATGCTGCCAACAGATGGTATTTGTAAATAAAAAATTGAAAAGCTGTGACAAGAACCCTCTTTCGCAACATTTGTGCCGTTTTCAATGCTGAATTACAAATCGATTTAGGACAAGGAGAATCCTAAATATGATGTAAAACGATTTTTAATGATGGCTGATAATGGGATCAAAGATGATAAGAAGAAGTTGATTATAATGATATTTCCTTTTACTATAGAACATTTATATTAATTTGGAAAGATCCACGAATTCGTAGAAATTAAACCATATCCATCAACAATATACAATACCAGTATTTTTGAATGACTGACACCGAGGTCAAGGTTAATTATAGAAAGGTTAATTACAATAATAATTCATTTTGACGCATATATTACCAGTAGTATGTTTCTGATTCCCTCTGTGGCACACTAATGTTCAAATTGAGAATTTTTTTTTTCATAAGGTTACATGTATCTATTTGAATTATGTTAACCAAATTTAATTCACGTTAAAGAAATACCTACGAGTTTCTCAACCTTTTATGTGCGAATATTTTTCATTTTATGATGAATTTTTCCTCATAGATTGGTTTCAGACTGATATTTGAAGCAGTTTTGTAGCTGTATATCTTCATTTATATGTAAAGAATCACGAATATAAACAAATAAGTAAGTAAATGTAAGATGCTGTCAAAAGATTGAAGACTGGAGTTTGAACCACTTTTCTCCAAAAATTTCAAACTTTAACATTACTCACAACTTTTGAACAGTTGGTGCTAGGGCTTTCATACTTCACAAATGGTATAAAGATTTTTTACCTTGACCTTAGAGTTTGACCTACTTTAAAAAGCTCAGACTGAGTGGTAATAAACTGCTGATTCGGAGAAAATTTTGTTTGTTGATAGAGAAAATAAACAAGAGGTCCATGGGTTACAACGCTCACCAGAATAGCTAAAAAAATGAAAAAAATTTCCCCGATCGATTCCTTTATGTAAAGCTTTGCTTGCCCATTGAAGCCATATTCCCTACCCCCCAGGAGTCTTGATTTGAATGAACTTCAATCTACACTACCTGATGATGCTACCTTATTAATATGATTAAACGTTAACATGTCTTTGCTGTTCTTAATTAAAATTTTTTTAAAAAGATTTTCCCATTGTATTCCCATGTAAAACTTTGATCCCCTTTTCAGTGTGATTCCGCCCTACCCAGAGTTCATGATCTGAAAAAATTAGGTCTACCTATTGGAACTTCCATTTCCATTCTCCACATTAATAGTATTATGTAATTTTTTTGAATATTTTTTTTATTTCATGTATGCCTTAATCTACTTTTTTGTATTAATCTTATTGTTATGTTCTTGCAATCCAAATATACTCCTGTAAAATGGTGACGAGATTAAAATAAATAATTTAATGGTCAATTAGACACTGTCTAGTAATTTACCCACTGAGTCAAAATTCGCTCCGCAGGTATGTGGTCATAATTTATCATGTTCTTCTGCTTACATAATGTTTAATTATAGACTTAACATTACGGGCTATCCTTAATCCCTTAAAAAAGACTGAAATTGAGTATTAAACATAAACGCAGACAAACCCTTACAGAACCACACGAGCTTACAAGGTAGAACAATAAATGTCATGGACATATCTGATTTTCAATTGAAAGGTGTTAATTTCTTGGTGACAATTTATGTCATTGTATCTCCTAAAATGTTTGAAATTTTGAAAGAAGGATTAAATGATTCATAAGCTGCATATACTCGAATAGCCTACTGGAGAGTTTGGTGTGTCAATGAGTGGATCTCTATTTGACCATATATACATATATTGAACGAGGACAACTATATCTTTAAAAGATGTGTATTAAAAATAGAGAAAAAAGTCTATTTCAGAGAGGAGAAAACAATGTTACCATTCAGACAAAAAATGCACTTTTCTAATTTAATTCCCTGCTGAAAACTTGAGCAATTGATTTTAAAATAGTTTAACAATAAATATACATTATTTCAAAATGGTCTCTATTATGTGTGGTACGGGTATATGTGTGACTGTGTCTGACATGGAAAATATTCAAAAGTTGTTTTGGTCCCGTTTTTAAAAGAACTTACGACTAAGACGAAAAACGCAAGTTGATTGTCAAATTTTGCAAAATTAATTATTCTGTTTAAAATTGTAAGCGTAAAATATTTTAGAACTACATTCCTTTTAAAAAGATATAAAACCATTTTAAATTTAATGTAAATTAGAAAGTTATAAGCAGAATTACATTTTGGTCTTGGTCGTTTGTTCCTTTGTAAAAAGGGTCCAGTTTCTTAAATCACACATTCAAAAGATTTGTTGTTATCACTAAATATATTTTTTATTATATGAATATTCTTCAGAAAAACAGATTTGTTTGTCGTCAATTTCGTCCAAAAATTATGCAAAAAAGAAATCGGTCAACAACAATTTGTCAGCCTGAAAACGTAATGCAACACCAAAATATTTATCATCGAAAAGTAAATGCTCCATCATATTAAAGATAACCTTTGACCTTCTAATTAATTTGAATATTTTTTCTAAAATCAGAACTAGGGCGGGACTAAAGAATAAATTTTGACACGATGGCGATGCGTTATGAAGAGATGCCATTTCCCATCTATCAATCACCTGTAATTGGTGTGAAAACCTCATCTTGTTCAGGTTTGGAAATCATCTTTACTGTCATGTATTGAACGATGGTAGATATAAACTGAGAACTGGACATTTTTCGTTTTCTTCACTTATGGATAATATTGACTTACGTGCCATTATCTGGGTAAAGAGGATTTTATGGGTATATAGAAGGGGGCCGTAAATATTTCTGTACAACCTGATCCGAATTGAACATGAACTACCTCAAAGTAAGTCAAACTATTTATATCTTATCCACACATAATTTTTTTCTGCACTGTTTTAATTTCATTTTTTATGTCTCATTCACAATGTCTATGATAATATTTTAAAGACAAAGAGTTCGTAGGTTGTGCTTAATTATTTACCTAGAAAGGAATTTATAATTTTATTGTGAATAATAATTTCATAATCATATTTTAAACTCTACGTCAAATTTCTTTTAAAGATAATAGGTAAGAGAAGTCATAAATTTGACCAGCTTTAATAAATGTTAATGAACTACATCTCTCTGTAATTCGCTTAAATGCGTAAACATCAAACGGGCTGCATCACTTAATTCATAAAAACATTCATATAAGTTATATCTTCACTAATTGTAGAAATGACAATCATATCGTGAGTTAAGTTAATTGTATTCTCTCAGTGTTTTCGTTTTGATTTATTGGCGATAAAATTTATTTTAGTTCGACGTAAAATCTGATGATGCGCGATTGAACTTTGTTGAGTTTGAAACTCGCAGAACAAATTTACTAAGGGTGCACTTTTCGAAGTGTATATTGAGCTGAATTTTTGTTACTTGATTTTCAAATTAAAACTGTTTTATCGTTAATTAGATTGTATAATTTAAGTTTCAATCTGTGACTGTTGACCTTTTTGGTCCTGATAAGAAAACAGTTTGCTTTCCCAAAATATCACGGTAACATTTTCAGTGACAGCTCAAAAGATAAGTTTCTTCCCATAAATTCTTATTAAAATAGAAAAATTGGTGTAGTGACATATTAAAATTTTCTATTTTTATTAAAAAAAATTGGAAGACATAAGGTAGATTGTATTCCTTAGGCATTGACATACAAATTTATGTATAATACTTACAACATCAGTTTGATATTTTGACTTGTGTGGTAGAAACGTGCCCCATTAACTTTGACTTTTGAATAATGCAATGAAATAAAATAAACAAATATTTTTAAAAAATTGTTTCAAATAGTTCAAAATAAACACTTGAAATTTGAAACATGACATAAAATTCGAAACTTTGAAGATACCTGTACACAAAATTTATTACATACTTTCTAAAGTTGAAATTTAAATATGTGTCGAAAACTGTATGTTACGCAAAGTGTTGTGATGTCGTAAATTTTGAAATGAGTGAGTGGGATAAATGACAATTTATGACGCGACAACCCCTCAAAAGAGTTAATTTACAAAGTGTATACTGTACAGAAGTTTAAATGTGTCCTTTAATAAAAATAATTTTCTATGAGAAATGAAAGAAAATATTAAAAATGAAATTGAACTTGAGAATATGTCAAAAATATTAATTTTTGCAAACTGACATTTAATACAGTAACAAGAATACAAGCTTTAGTAATAAATATCCAACAGTGCAAACGTTATATAGTCAACTAAATTATTTATTCGATTGTATACAATTATGCAGTGCTAAGTATGATAAAATGTCACAATACCTCACATTAATTTGTTATATCAGTTAATTAATAGCAACAAAATAATGAAGAAGATGTCCTTTACATAAGACAGCTGAATTGCCTGAGATCAAATGCATTTATTCTATATGGGTGTCAGTTCGCATCAATGCTGACTGAATAACTCGAACTGGTACAAAGGGATGAGAACAAAGACTTTCCCTACAATAAATACAATTATCATTATACATCGATAGGTCACTGCAACTTGGTATTTCCTCAATGAATTCATTTATCAATTAATAAACACTCAAATGATTCATAATTAAGGGACAAAAGTGCTCACAAATCGAACGCAACTTTATTTCCTACAACCCTACATCAGAGAGGGTACCAGTGTAATGTTAATTTTAATAATAATGATAATGAAGAAAAAAAAATGTTTTTCAGGCCAAATGTCAAAAGACATTCCGTAATTTGCTAGGGGGCATTTTTTATTAGGATGATTACGTCATAATCGGAAGTACCTTTAAGATACATACCGGTATATCTATATAAGACTTTGTACAGTGAACTTATTATCAGAATTCATGTCAGAGAGTTTCGCAGACATTTTATAACAAGGATTTCTTTTAACAACTTCTCCATAAACATTTTTACAATCATATGAAACGGGTAAAGCTGACAACGGAAACCTATAATTTCTTCATAAAAATTCTGAAGATACACTCTGATACATGTACACGTATATATTTTTTTTTATCTTAATTTCAGATTTGTGTTTGCCTACTGTGGCTTCTATGTTGTATACGGACGACAAAACAGGGTACTGACCATAAGACAATAGACATGCAACACATTTTTCTTTGTATCAAATTGCAAAACTGTTCTACTTATTTTCTAAAAATATATTTCAAGCATAAAATCATCTTCGCTAGCCAAGATGGCATAAAATAAAATGAAATGAATGTGGATTTTTTATATTATCAATCTGAATATTCACACATATTTTTAAAGTGCCTTAACTTCTTTTTTGAACATTATTGTAGATGCAGAATTTTGGAATTCTATGGCCCAGGAAGACCTTCAGAAACTTCTTCAGAAGCAGTGGAACACTAATATCGCTAAGAATATCATCTTATTCGTGGGAGACGGAATGGGGATCCCAACAATAACTGCGGCGCGGATCTACAAGGGGCAGCAGCAAAACAAAACAGGGGAGGAATCAAAACTAGTGTTCGAGGAATTTCCAGAAATAGGACTTATAAAGGTAAGGGAACATTGAGGAAAACTTTAACATTTTAACAGTGTAATGGTCCATCAATGGGTATGAGGTAATTTCTGGACACTTAACAAATGTATACCATACACGAAAGGGAGAGAGCTAAAATTTTACTTTTCCCCGTATTATGTTGAAAAGTCAAACTTGACAAAGTGTGGAATTATAATAACTTGCCTTTCCAGACATACAGCGTTAATGAACAGGTACCAGATTCAGCTGGCACTGCTACGGCCTTTCTCTGTGGGGTCAAGGCTAAATCCGGGGTACTAGGACTGGACGACAGGGCAGACGAGGCTAACTGTACAACGTCTGTCGGAAAAGAAGTAGATTCAATTTTAAGAATGTCCAAGAAAAAAGGTAAGCTAGAAATATAATTATTGATCAAGAAATTTAGAGAAATTTACATGTTTTACATTATTTTTAGTTCATTTAAATCCCAAATACATGTATAAATGTACATTGTACTAAAAATCTGCCAAAAATTTAAAAAAAAAATTTCTCCTTTTAAAAACATTTTCTGTAAAAGTATAGTTGTATATATTGACAGCAAACTGAGACTCGATGAAAAGAATTTGAAAATAAACACTTAAGACCCCCCCCCCCAAAAAAAATCTATCCGTTCTTATGATGACAAATTTTTATAATAAAAATACTTTATTCAAGAAGTATTGAAAGTCCTATTGTCACTTAGCTATGGGAAGTGGATGTATTCTTGCCTCCACAAGCAGTAATTGACCCAAAAACTCTCTTCTAGTCGCGTTAAACATTCTTATCCCCCGCAAACGAAGCTTGGGGTGTGTATACAGGTAGTTCAGTCCTGATATTTTTTATCCCCCCCCTAAAGATCAATGTTATACCCTGTGGAAGAAAAACCATATTGCATCAGAACCTTTAGAGCTATCTGTCACAAAGTCTTAGTTTTCATGGCTTCGCTACGTATACCATTTCAGTGACATTTCTTTTGTTCGATTATTTTTTTTCTGAGAACTGTGTTCGATATTTTTTCTTCCTTAGTTAGTGGAAATGATACGTGACCTTGTTCATTTGGTGTTTTAAAACTAATTTGTCCTAAATTTCTAAAATGTCATGGCCGGTTAATTATTTTCCCGTGCATAGAAAGGCCCTCCACTTCCTGAAAGTGATCATATAGACAGCTGCAACTGAATTGTGGCTTTTCTTAATAGAAATATATTGTTCATTTCATTTTCGGTAGGCCCATCTTAAACTCAAGGTCATTTGAGAATTTACATGCACATGTGTGTCTTGGGATATGTTATGCTTTTCGGTTTATATATTTAAAATTGATTGTATAACGTCCCTCTCGAGAATTTTTCACTTGAATGGAGACGCCACCATTTGCCGGTGGAGAGCTCCAAATTTTGTCCTATACTCTGCACTTAAGGCCATTGAGCAGAGAGGGATTTTTTTCGTGCCAGCACCTACTGCGACACGGGACCTCTGTTTATACAGTCTCATCCGAAGGACCTGTCTCCACATCCCACAGTGGGATTCGAACCCGCAATATAAGGATCGACTCCTTACTTCGCGACTCTAGAGCAGACGCTCTAACCAATGCGACACGCGGGCGAAAAAAAAATATATATACACACACAACAACATGTATGAAGATATTATACACTTATCCACTGGTTGTGAGTGGGATAGCTCTTTTACCAACCCCGCGACCGGCAACTATTCCCCGCGGGCTGGCCCGCGGGGAATAGTCCCTGTCAAGGGTTTGATTATCCCACTCACAACCAGTTTTTTTATTATACCTAATATTTGAATTTTCTTTGGAGTTATATAATACTGCAAGAATGAGCTGAAATCCTGATGACATCACAATGCTACTGAAGTCATTATGACATCATCAGTCAATAGATTTATCACTGGAAATCAAAATTGGAGGCAAAAATTGCATGAAAATTTTCCGAGGGTGGATAGCAAAAACTATACCCCGGGGTATAGCTTTGGTATGCGTGAACTATAAAAGATAGCTATTTTACCTTCTGAACTTTATATAGGAAACATTTTAACAGACGTATAATAAATGGCAATAGACTTGAAAAAGGGCCTATCGCGACTTAACTTGGTAAAGGTCATTTTGGCAAGGTCAAGTATTAAAGTTGCCAAATTGAATGATTTGTGTCTCAAAGGCCAAGCAAGCAAGATTAAAGGCACAGGACTTAGAATAGTAGAACTTTGGATAACATTTATTGAGGGTTTATAAAAAGGGTTTATAACCAAGGGTGCAACATGACTTAGAAACATGTCTAATTAAATAAGATCAACGAGCATAGCATGTACATACAATATTCTGCCTACATAATTTTACAATTTTAATATCAGGTATATAAACATAAAGATTTTTAGGCAACACATTGTGTTTCAAGACATTTTGAATTGACAGTGTATACTGTAATGAATAATGCCACGTGTCCATTGGGGATTACAAAGCCTTTCAATTAAATCTTAAATCCCTTTATCCTTTTTAATTGAAACATCAACTCAAATAAAAAAAAAATAATTGTACATTTTTAGGAAAATCAGTGGGAATTGTCACAACTACACGGTTGACACACGCAACCCCAGGAGCAGCTTACGCACATTCAGCAAGTCGTACGTGGGAGGGGTCGTACGACATGGAACAGGAAATGGTGGACCCCCAGTGCACGGACATCGCATACCAACTCGTCATGAACAACTCCGATATAAATGTAAATAAAAAGATCTATATATTCTTTAACATACATATAAAATTTTTAACGTGCTAATGAAATACTGTAAGCACCTAGTTAACATAATTGTGGCCTGTTTAAAATTCCAAATTCTTTTAATTTTATTCCCACGTCGATAGGTACTAATGGGAGGAGGAAGAAGATTCTTTTTGTCAGAAAACAAAACAGATCCAGAATCTAACTTCACGTTTCGCCATCAAAGAAAAGACCTAGACCTCGTAGATGTAATTTTTTTTTATTCGAGACAAAAATATACATACATGTAGCTGGATAATGATAACCGACTCCTAAAATAGTTAACAGTGTTCTATGATGAGCTTAACGACTTCTTTCCAAACCATTTTCATTTTTCAACATTTTACGTTTTTTTAAATGATTTATTCTGACTGAATTTAACAGGAGTGGCTGAGAGTGAAAGAAGAAGAGAATGCGTCTCACAGTTACGTGTGGAATAACGCGGGATTTAACGCCATTGATCCTGAAACAACAGATTACATGCTTGGTAATCTTTTACAACATCATCTGCGACAATTGAAGAAATATAAGAAATATCAGTGTAAAAGATGCTGTATCATATCTGTTCTTTAACATGTTATAAATCCAGAAAAATATACCTTTTATTTGACACCCATCCCCATCAATTTATTTTATTGTTACTTAAAAAAAATTCTTTTGAAATATATTCATATTTTAAACAATCAAAAGTAAATCCTTTTTCGTTGACTTCAGGTTTATTTGAGCCGTCCCACATGCAGTACGAATTTGAACGTGACCAGGGGCCATTTGGAGAGCCATCTTTGGCGGAAATGACGAGGAAAGCCATAGAAATTCTAAGAAAAAACGACAAGGGCTTCTTCCTTCTCGTGGAGGGTAAGAATTAGGAATTCTTTCACCCCACATCTTAAAATTAAAATCTTATTTTGCAAATGACATCCTTGACATCCCCCCTCCCCATTTTCTTGGCTTTTTTTCGCTTATAACTTTGAAAGCCAATATTACACAGTTTGAGTTTTTTCTCGAACAATGCCCCCTAGTCACCAAGTTTAAGAACATCTAGCACGGTTAATCTACCTCCTTACTTTACAACAGTGACAGAAAGTAACAATATAAAAAGGATGACCCAATATAACTCTTGACAAAATCAATTTTTATTATTTCAGGCGGGCGTATAGATCATGGCCATCATGCCACACGGGCCGCCATTGCTTTATCAGAGACAGCCATGTTTGACAGTGCTGTGCAGGTTGCCAAGGAAATGACCAATGATGAGGACACATTGATAGTGGTAACGGCAGACCACTCCCACGCCTTCATGATTGCTGGATATCCCAGCAGAGGGAACGATATTCTGGGTAAGAAAGAAAAGTCTGTGACGAAAAATTCGATAACTCGATTGATAATTCGAAAATTCGATGTTTTCGAATAACATGACTTTACGTTCCTATGTTTGTTTACCAGGGACGGTTGATTCTGCTCCTGGGGATGATGGGATGCCGTACACAACCTTAAACTATGGAAACGGTCCCGAACAAAGAAGGAATCTTACGGGGGTCGATACCAGTGAGTACAATTCACTGAAATTCAGTAACATATTTTTATTAGGGATGTCAACGAATATTCGAAGATTCGAATATTCATTCGATGAGTTGATATTCGAATATAAATTTGAGATTCGAATATTCGTTTTTCAGTATACAAGCATTAAAAAGAGAGAAAACATGGCAAGTTTATTTAGAAATTGAATCAAGTTTGTATAAAATAAAAAAAAAAACACTCCTCTTGGATTACCTTAAAAGTATGAAGAGTGTATCTTCCTAAGAGTAATTTATTTATTTGTTCACTAAATTAGTGGTATAATAGTATATCAGCTTGTATTGTTGTAAGTAGTTTTACAGTAAACACACAGACTTCTTGTTTATGTAAATATCATTAAAAATCATTAACAGGAAATTATAATTAGCAAAAAGTAACTGCTAACTAATATTTCACCGTTAGATAATTGTTCTGCTTGGTATAAATTTTTAGGAGTTATCAGTGTAGACTTTAGTAAGACGATCAATTAATCTGGAATATATTAAAGAATCTTTTGAATTTTCAAAAATCAATCATTACATTTCGGATGTATACTTTTAAATAATTTTTAAAAATATAAATAATTGTAGTGCATTTTCCGAACTCTACACGAGATTTTTTTCTAAAATAATGGCATAAACCTATACTGCTTGACAGGATAGTGAAGATTTATATTTAATAATGGAAAATGTATATATTTTATCGAATATTCGAATATATTCGAATACTCCCATTGAATATTCGAATATCAATTATTGACAATTTTGACATCCCTAATTTTTATAATTATTTAAGGTTTCACATCAATAATTATCATACCAGTATTTCCTACAAAAACGATAAAATAAAGTATATTAGGAAGGACAGCCATAGGATGTAATTACATGTAACATATCGCTTCTGTAACCAAGATAAGCCACATTTAGGATTATTGTCTGTTTTTACAAGTTTCCTATGATTCTTCAAATCCGAACTCCCTTTACAGCCTCCTTCAGCTTCCAACAGTCCGGAGTGGTTCCGATGAGCTCTGAGACTCATGCTGGGGAAGACGTTCCTGTCTACGCTACAGGACCAATGGCACATCTTTTAGTGGGAACTCATGAACAAAATTACATAGCGCATGTGCTAGCCTATGCTTCCTGTGTCGGCCCATACCCGGGGCGATGTGACGTCACTCCTTCTGCCACACATTCTGGTGCTTCTAATACTGTGATCTCATTTCTCCTTCTGTTTTTGTCGTGTTTTCTCTGTTTCCTTTGAAATCCAATTTTATTCCAATTATCATATTTATATATTTTTGAAATAAAAGTTAGTTTTAAAAAAAGGTTTTTTTGTCGAAGGTCGTTCACTGTCAAGTTATTTGAAAACAAAAATGAAAGGGGACACCCGGGTTCGAACCGGGGACCTCTCGATCTGCAGTCGAATGCTCTACCACTGAGCTATATCCCCTGTATAACCTTACTGGACGACATCTACTATTAATTGGCAAGAAAAGTAACAGCTGTTCAATATTTCTACAACACAGTGAACACGTAGTAAATATAGTTTTAAACGTAAGCCGTCTAAAAATAGTACAGTTAAAACCGTTATGCTATTAATAACAGCTGGCCTTGACGCAAGTAATGTGTCTAGTCTATGGTGTTTAAAATTCTTACTTTTTCACCATCAGACATTGTGAAATATTGAGAGAAAAAAATTGATATTATTGTGGCTTATCTAAAAAAAAAAAGGTTTAGAATAAAATTGCAATCATAACGCATGCATTCCAATGAACAATTAAATATTCAATCCATTTAATGAATATGCAAATTTTAATGTATAAATGTCCTCCTTGTGCCTTTTTATTTGTGTAAATAAACCTGAAACATACTTGTACCCCAGTCCTGTAAAGTAGAAACTTCAGACATATTGTGGTTCTTATTCTTCGTATTGTAAATCAAAATTTTCTAGAAAATTCAGTCACTAACTTATTCAACGTACGATTTTTCTACTTTTAACACAACCATAACTCGTTATAAATTAAAAACTAAGTTTTTAATATCATAGACAACTGCTCCGTTAGTGGAGACAGAACTCAAACATGTTCACATCTTTTGAATGGGCAGCAACAAAATTATTTCATTTAAATTGACTTTGATTTTAAATACGTACTCTGAAGTTGATATTAAAAGGATGCTGGAGTTCCTTATTGATAACATTTTTATGTTTCCTTCTGAGACTAGGTCATCTGACAAACTGTTGGAATTACAATGGGCACTAATTGTGCTTCTTTATTAGGAGATTTGCTTTTATAGTCCTATTTCAAAACTTCTACATGAGAGGAAGAGATTATTTCCTGTGACATTCGACATTCAGATATATCGACGTACTTTGTTAATAAGTAATTTACATTCATTTGTCGCCCCTATATATCCTAGTGAACTTGAAATAACACACCACAGTGTCTGTCACATCTGTTTAATGATTGGGTGTTATTGACTATAGAACAAGACGAGACAACCAACAGATAAATTGTATGACATTCGAAATGGGTTTATGCCTGCCAACTTATTCAAGAGCATGCTCTGAGAATGGTCAATTGTTAAACAGTGGCAGGCTATTTACAGATTAGTTGATGATAGGATTTCAACAACGTCTTTAAAGTCAGCATTTCGTAAATTCTTGTCGGTATAGTGACCTTCTTAGCAAATCTCAGGCACGTAGCATCGTTTTTGAAAGTGGGGGGGGGGGGCAACCAGAGAAAATTTTTTTTACTTACCTGTAAAAGTTGACAAGCAAAAAAAAAAAAAGAAAAAAAAGGAAATTGCCCACACTCGAAAATCTTATTTCTTGGGGGGGGGGCAAATTTTTTTCAAGGCCAACTTGCTTTCACTTCCAATTTTTTTTTTTTTTGCATGCAATACTACTGTAAACCAAGTATTATACGCGTGCGAGAAATATCCGCGAGTTCCGCGAGTAACCTCTGCTCGCGGATATTTATCGTCGCGAACCAGTTCAGTTGTTCATTATCATGATTTATTTAGAGTTATTTGCCCTTTTTACAATACCGATCCCGACGGTTCAACAAGTAATCACGGAAGAACTTTACAGTTAGTGTACAAGAAGCAGTTGAAATTTAATTACAAACATTCAGAAAAAATAAAAACGAATGGCAAATCTAAAACTATTTGTCTAAAAATGATTAAAATGTCAATTATCATTTCAGCTTGTGTTATTATTGTTCATTTATTGTTACAGACGAGTCAGTGATAGCCTGGTTAATTATGGCTAATTATGGCCAAGTCCTGTTCTGTCCCAACCATTTATAATAATAGCCCCTTGGCTGTGTATATCTTAGAAAGCGTCGGTTACTCAATTAGTATGAGACACTTTTACAATTGAGAGTTTTAAATCAATTTTAATCTCCTAGATTTTTACCCGATTTTCGTTTGAGCGTTGTGAAAATGCGTATGAAGTATATTCATGGTAAACATTTTACCTACTTTGGGGCGGATATAAGATTTTAAATGGACGCAATGCACAGAATGTCTTGAATAATGCGTAAGCAGACCTCACGCTACCATTTTACCTAGTTTATGGGCGGATATAAAATTTTTATTTGATAAAAAAATACTCGTGGAAATAAAAAAAAATGTGACCACTCGTTCGCGGAAATAAATAGTCGCGGATAAGTTCTCTGGCGGTCAGTCGCGAATAAAAAATGACGCGTATAATAATTGGTTTACAGTACATTTTCCTTCATATCACTATACTATGGTAAGAAGTTGGGGGGGACCAATCTTTCAATGGACATTTTCAATAGTAAAAGTAATGTTGGGAAAAAAGGTGGGGGGGCAGGCCCCCCAGCCCCCCCCCCCCCCCCCCCCCGTTGCTACGTGCCTGAATCTATTACCCATCATTGGATCATACTATGTCTGCTGAATTGTTTCATAGCAATTGTTGGGCCTTTCTTGTAATGCCTCCTCACACTAGACACCTTGATTTGTATTGTTTGTTTAAAATTTTTCAGATTCCCGTTCATTATCTTCTGTTTTCGTATTTTTCCAAGTCTGGATGACCCCCATGTCTTGATGACCACTTTGATTTTTTTTTACACTAATCAACTGCAATTACACAGTCAATATTGAATAAAATAACACGTGTTATCTTACACAGTTCTTTATTTTGTGCACTAACGTTGGGTCAGTCATAGATGGCATAAGCCCGTTATTTTGTAAATGAATCAAACCTGTAAAAATATATATTTATGTAAAAGCGTAATTCAAAAATCACCTGAATTAGTCGTTTATATCAAGCTTGAATACTTACCAGCTAGGGCAGATTGAAATCCGGCATTGAAGTCACAGGCTACATCATTGTCTGTGTATACGTCATTTTCATCCGGGCCACCAACCAGCGCCCCCTTCAAAATGTGTGGACTGGGTCCGGGGTTAATAATATTGTCCCAACCGCAAGGGGATGATGGGGGATCAGGACAAGAACTGCACAGAAATGCTATATTTACCTCCTAGATATGCGTTTTTTACTAAAAACCTTATAAGAACTTGTACTATTTATACAATTTGACATAGTAAAAATAACTTTTTTTCTTCCATTTATGCCGCCGAAATATTGTCAATTCAGCTTTAAACAATATACGAGGGTTGTTCGGAAATTATTGAGACAATTACATTTACCCATAAAGGACGGAGATAATTTCAGGAAAATTCATCAACATTTTATAAAGAAAGAATAAAACACTTATGCAAAATTTCTAATTCTCATGATAATAAGTTTTAGTGAAATAATAAACATGCGTACGCCAGGGATGGTTTTGCATGTAAAACGATCGGGAAGCGTTTAATCTTTTTCCTTCTTTGTTATTACATATAACAGTACAAAAATTAATAAAACAGTCTCTTTTCTTAAACTATTCCTTAAAAATGTATGCTGTTGCTACCCGAGTGTAATATTTTCATTTGTGGGAAAAGATGACTTTAAATCATGCAGTGTCGATTTATGCAACTAGGGTCAACGATATTGATACCGTAACGATATTACTTGTAATACCGTACGTAATAACTGATGGTCGTCCGGAGCTTTTGATTTTACTCTGGTTGAATTAATTGTAAAAAAAAAGTATACCAATGAAATAACAAACCCAACACATTATTTTTTTCTTGTAGTTATTATTTTAGCAGGTCGTTGTGTCTGGAAAAGAGTTCTACATTGCGCTACACAAAATTTTAGGTATGTTCGCTGCTCCGCCCTTGACGTCAAAATCCATTTTTTCGTTCTTAGCAGATTTCTCTACCGCGCTTAATTTTTTTTATGATCTCCGTATTTCTGATCAAAATTCTATCAAAGTTGCACAACATGAATTTGAATTAAAGCTGAAAAATTATACACATAAACAGAATTATTTTCGCTCTTATTATGTGTTCACGAAAAGTTAGAACGTTGGTGTTACATATTTTCAATATCTGATATCGAGACTGCTCCGGGTACCCCTACTGATGACGCATTTATATACCATTGTACAGAAAAAATTTACTATTTGTAAAATATTTTTTGCTTTTATTAATTCTAAGTGTATGTCAAACGTATATGCAAATTTGCACCGAAAGACGTTCATTAGAGAGCAAAATAATGAAAATATACACAATGTCTCAATAATTTTCGAACAGCCCTCGTACAATAAATCAATCAATCAGTCACTTATATATTGATACCTAGCTCGATGGTATGGTTTCTGTGGATAGTTATCACCATATCCGATCTGATAGCTCAAGTTTTGTTTGTTATCCCCCAACATGTAGTTAATTTGTTTGATCGCCCACATCTTATAGACATCTCCCCCAATTCCTTCATCAGCCGCCATCAAAGCTACCAAGGCCGCGTTAGCTAGCATGTAAAAACAGTTTTCTGTGATTTTTATTATCATAAATTCACAACATTTTTCTTTATCAAATAAAATATCACAACATAGTACGTATACGTTGTCGTATGGTTTTTCAATGAAAAAGAACAGAGACAATTCGTTTGCAACAGTCGTGATTTAAAAAAAAAAGAGAACCATTTTAACCCCCATATATCCCATATTACCCGTGTATCTGAGGGGTCCGTCCCCGGTTCTCCAGGCTAGACCACAAGGGGTCTGCCTCACATCACCCCCTGGCATAAAACTCCTGAGGAAATCTGTGACGTGAGCACTGAATCGTCTGTCTCCCACAGCCTTGTACAACATCAGCTACAATATAGAGGTAATAAATAGAATGTTACGGTTACTGAATCGTCTGTCTCCCACAGCCTTGTACAACATCAGCTACAATAGGAATAGATTAAATGTTACAGTTACTATTTCTCACCTGCGTATACAGTACATGTGAGATCCACCTGGTCTCTATAGCAATTAAAATTAAAGGTTTATTTAAAGTTTCAGTGAGTTTTAAACACTATTACGAATGATTTGGTAAAACGAATCTTTGATTAAGGTTATATTAAACAGAAAGCCGGTCTGTTATAGAATGGATAATTTATGTAATCCTCGAAGATACCGATTCTTGACTGTCTACTTCTTGATAAAATAACAATCCTGATCCCAAACATCTCCGATTCTAAAGCAGTACCTATCATGCTCTAAAACTTTAGCTACTAGTATTACCGATTCCTATTTCTAACCAGTACCGATCCTTATCCCTGACCAGTACTGATCCCAATTCGATCTTAACCGATATCAATCTCGATTAACCAAGGATTACCAATCCTTGTCCTACAGACAAACTCACAGCACACTGGACATTCTTGTCGTCCCAGGAGAAGGCCCAACTTCTCATCCCAGAATCAAAGAAAGTCATGGCGTCTGTCAGGTAAGATGAATTCTGGGTAGCCTTGAAGAGTTCCACGGCGGCTGTACAGAGCTCGTCGCGATAAGAATGGGATCTGTAACATAATGTAACATTGCTTTATGCATCAAAGAACAATTTCTAGGCACGCTTCACGGCTTTAACAGCACAGCACAACAAATGTAAGACGCGATATTTTGGACCATCTTCGATATCGAACGAAGAACAATCACAACAAAGGTTGGTACATGTATATATTTTTAATTAAATAAAATGTTGCATATTAAAATTCTAGCTTGCTATTCAAGTCCATATTTCTTTAAAAAGTGTACTAGTATCTTCTCTGATGTATGTACATAAATACATATCTTACCCGTAATATTTGTTGGCATCCTGGACAGCCGTTGTGCCGTACATCCCTTGTTTTCTTTTGGCGAAATCATACAGACTCTTTGCAGCTGACAACAGTTTCTGAGAGTATGTTGCATCTAAAAAGTTTGTTAAAATATTTTGATATACAGATGAGAATCAAAACGAGGTAATAAATATTTTTCCTGAGTCGGTAAGTTCGTGACATACTTTTGTCTTTAAACACGATAGCTCCAGACGCCATGGCTGCGGCGGTTTCCCCGGCAACATCGCTGCATGTGTCGTTTACCGTACATTTATAGGCGGGCCTCCACATTGGTCTAAATTTAGACATATCCTCAGGCCGACCCCAGTATCTATGATCCTCTTTTCCATTTCCAATCTGTCATTCAAACAATATAAACTTTAAAGATGGTATTCACTCTATACGACTATACTCCATTCACTATGCTTTTATAGGTGCTATATTGCAAACACTTTTGTAAGACTGTTTAATGTACAGTATTTACAACATTTTTAGAATGCATTATTCTTAAAATTGAACTACCTGTGCATAATATTCTTGGGTTGTAGGATTCCAGCATTTCAGGAAGTAGTCCAGCGGCCATTTTAACATGTCGTACATCATTTCTAGCTGGCCTGTTGATTGATACGCATCCTTCCACCTCTCCAGACCCCAGGATAAGAAATGAGCAGACGATGCCATCGGAAGGTTAAATTTCATATGATCACCGGCTATTCCAATTATGAAGCATGAAAGAAAATACAATAACCTGAGAAATTTTTCAACTGAGCTAAGGTCTAAGTCACTCTCTTTTAACAAGTTTCTCAGGGTTTTTTTTTTGTTTAAAAGATTTCTTTCGGTCCATGCTATTGCTATATGGATTTAATTTTAAAATTACAAATACATGCAATATATAAATAAGTAAATTATTTTATATGATATAATATAAAGATCACCGAAGAATTATATCTATTTTTTAAATTTAGTTTAAAATGAAAGAAAATTTGACTCTGTACATGTATCAAATTCCTTATCTCATATACTAGCTTTTATTGAAAGAAGATGGGCGAACAAGGCGGGCAGAATGCCTATAGTGTCAGAAATTAAGAAATCATATTAAACATGTGAATTGATTATTTAAATTAACTCAAATTTATTGAAAATTTTGAAATTATGAGAAAAAAAACTTTTTTGAGAGTGAAAAAAATCTCGTAAAAAATGTCTTTCTTAAATTATTAGATGGTATTCGTGGGATTCGAACCCTGGCAATAAAAATCCGACGTATCAATAGCATACTGCTTTGAGACTAATGCGTTAACCACAATACTACACCGCTCATGTTGATTTGAGGCATTTAAATCATGTTTGTGATATGACCCGCGACTTAATGGACTTGAAGTATTTCTCGGAAAGATGCTAATGTTGTGTCATAAAAGTGTACTTTTAAGGTATAGTGGGTCTTCTCTCCATGTTTTTGAAAACCAAAAAATGTGTATTTTATTGCACACTTTTAGGATCATCTTTCAAAAAAATGGAGAGAAGACCCACCCATATTGAAAAATTTTGTTTAAGTATGAGAAAATGATCGTTTTTGTTCTTTTTAGTGTGTGTAAGCTTTTCCACTGACACATATTCTCAGTCCTTGTAAGATTTTTGTAAATTGAAGAGATTTTACATAAAGTATACTTTAATATTAGATGAGATATGAAATAATATTTGGATAAAATTGAGATTAATTTTTTTCCCTTCTTATCAGTCGCGCTATAGGCATTCTGCTCGCCTTATACGCCCATCTTCTTTTTTAGCACGACCATTTACATTGTTACCAGAATTTTCATTTTCAACTGAAATATAGGTCATTTTGCCAATAGCAAACTTTTATGATATTATTCTCCGCTTTATGAAACGTAAGCTATAATTTTTATGCATTATGTACCGTCATACCACCCGCCAGTTAGATCCTCTCCTTTGTCACCATGATCATCTACCGCGGAGTCATTTCTCCAAGACACCGGGTTATTTGCCGGAAGTATTCCTGATCTCTGAGCGTCAAAAAATAGAATCGACAAGGAGAGTGCTTCTGAATAGTTGAATTCCACCACTGGTTCTACAACGATATCGATGAGCATTCTGGTATTGATATTTAAAAAAAGGTAAAGTTTATTTGCAAATAAAAACAATTTTCCTTCTTATTTGATCTAAATGATGTGCAGGTATAGTAACATTCAAGTTTCGAAAATGCAATTGAACAAAGATAATCATAACCGATGGAGGTGTATCCTGGCATTGCTGTTGTGCTAATCCCTAATGCGGGAGCTGTGTCAACGGTACAGCGCGGATTGTTGTTATCCGAGGGCATCCTTATCACGACCTCTACTTCCTCTGGTGGCTTTGTGCTGCCATCTGGAAATAGTTCTTCATTTCTGACAGTAAACACAGAATTACCAGACGTTGCAGACACCACCGCAGCTGACCAAATCTGAAAATAGTGTTAAAGATGTAAATATAGTTTTGACATTGCACGTCTCTTAACATTCCAAAAATGCCCGGATGGCGCAGTGCACGTGGATAAAAAGTTTGCTCTCGAGTCGTTCTAAGAGTAAAGTATCAGTCACATTATCCAGCGACGGGGTATAGGACGAGAAACCGATGCGTTTTTTGATAAAAAATGGCGTGGTTGCCGGCCGGACACCTATGCTTTAGTAATCGTACGGTGACTGAGGCCATTTGGCGAATCGGTGGGGGTCATCAGTAGAAAATAAGTTGTAGTTAAAAATCCTCCACCGATGCCCCACATCGGTCCTCATCGGCAACCCATCATTGACACAACTTTCAAGGATTGTCCGATGTATGTCCGAGCATCGTCAAGTGTCCGTTGAATCTGAGGTCATCGGGGGGTTGAGTGGTGGGCAACAGAGATCGGCCGATCATCGGTCGATGTTCGACCAAACATTGGCCCATAGTCGACGGACGTGTGAACGATGTTCACCAATGTGTCAGCGATGTAATATACGTCGGCTGTTTACCCTGGAACATCGTGTTATGATTAGCAATGCATCGCTGGGCCTTTATAAGTCCGGCCGGCAACCACGCCATTTTTATCATAAAACGCATCAATTTGGTTGCCCATCGTATACCCCATCGCTGGATAATGTGATTGATACTTTAAAGGACTACTATGCCGACGTTGGGGCATCGCTCACACCACGGATTACCACCGGTCTACGGCCACCGGCCGAGAAATGTGACTAAGGCATAAGGAGTTGATCCTTACGTTGCACGCTCGCATAAAATGAGCTTCGCGGTTACCGGTCCTTCGATTTGGATGAGACCGTATAAATTGAAGTCCTGTGTTGCAATAAGTGTTGGCATGAAAAAATCTTTATTCCTACCTCTAGTTGACCTATATCCCTGTCACAGGAAATAGTAGCCTCCCATCCTTTCCCGAGGAGTGAGGGCTGAACTATAAAGTATCCGTCTATACCTGTATTCCACTCGTTCCTCGAGATAAGGGGTTGTGGCGTACCGCTAATAACGGTAACATAGGAAACCAGACACAGCCAAAACAGCATGCTCTGTAAAAGTATGATATATGTGTATCAAATATTCTCGAAAGAACAAGGTAAGTTTAATACATATAACACATGATGTATACATAAATCCTGGAAACTATATATATGCGTGCTATATACTGATTTGTAAAGGTATGCAATTGTCCCTTTAATTTAAACTCTTCAGAGACTGAAATATTTATGTACACCACAATGATACATAATCAGAAAAGAAATATGTGCGTATGAAATGATGATAAATGGGTAAATCTGCACCCCCTCCCCTAGATTCTCAGTGTTCCTAGTTAAGTGTTGTCTTCTTTATATGACTGTGTACAGAACTATTGTGAAGTAATCTTTGTATATTGTGCTGCATGCTATCCTTCTAAACATAGCAATGTTTGTTAAAAACGACAATTGACAAAACAATTTACAGATGATAATATATATGTTTTAGTATATTTCAATAGACGTCATCTTACCCCAGCTATTTTGATAAATCTCAGTCAAAATAAGGTATCATGTCCTTGTTATTAACACCAAGTCTTTCATACTGGACTGTTAAGAGATAAGGAACAAAAATCAGTTGATTATACCACACTGAATATATATATTATACTTAACGATTTTATGATTTTTTTTTATTTTAAATACAAATTGGCATATCATTCAAATGATGTATTCATGTATATTCAAAGAAAATTAGACAAAAATATTTCAAATACTGATAAATGAATTATTCTTTTTCCACACTCATGTTTTTTTATGATACATGTATGTTAGAAATTTTGTCAGAAAATTAAAAGAAAAAAATGACTCGCCTCTATCATGCTATCTTTCTCCCATCTAAGCATTTATATGTAGTTCCTTGTCTACTCAGTTTTCTCTGTGTTTTATCGCCATACAGTTCTTCCACTTGTCCTGGGTTCCAGGTCAGTACCAGTCGCCGAATTAAGGTTTCCTAAAGCTGTCTACATACTTGTGCTGAATGTAGGTTTCCTAATGATGCCCTACTTCCGGTGCAACAATCAAATAGCAAATTCTGCTATTAGTACTTGGCGACTCTTCTTTTTAGACTACCTTATGTTAATTAATTAAGATGTGTTTAAAACTTCTGAAAGTCTGAATTCTGTTCAGTAACTTTTTTCATCATCCATCCTCATCAGACCCGTAGAGCAGATAGTTTTGTAATCAATTAAAGGTGAGCAATTATGAGGCAAATTTTGCAGATTTCTCTCGAATTCCAGATATTTTTGAGCATAACATATGTTGCCCTAGGTCGCTCGCATGGCGCAATGGTTATAGCGTCTGCTGTAGAGTTGCGGAGTAAGGAGACAATCCATACGTCGCGGGTTCGAATCCCACTGCGGAGACCGGTCCTTCGGATCAGACTGCATAAATCGAGGATCCCATGTCGCTGCAGCTGTTCGCACAAAACGATTCCTCCCTGCTCAGTGGCCTTAAGTACAGGAAATTTTTTGCAACTCTTCACTCGCAAATGGTGGCATCTCAATATGAGTGAAACATTCTCGAGAAGGACGTTAAACAATAAACAAAGAAAACAAAATATGCTGCCCTAGCTTGCAAATCCTTTAATACGGTTTCCACTCGTAACTTCAAAAGGTATAGGAATTATAAATATTTTGTCTATTTGATTTGTGACATATTTTATTTTTTAAAATATCAATCTCATCTCAACGGATCTGCAGTCAAGCCATCCGTTATTTATGGCTGCGAATTATGGAACTATACCACCATGTATATCCCAACATGAGGGGTGTATGCTATGTTGTGCGCGGGGTGTATGCTTCCGAAGCGAGAGAAAGGGGGTCAATGTACGTTCTTTGTCCATTTTCTCAAATTACGGATATTTTTCGCCAGAAAGCATATGCCTACGGAAGAAAGCATTATCTAAGGAGTATATGGATACCTATGAATCCACTGGACACCTTCTAGTTTTATTAAACACCTCGACACAATTCCGAGGATCGGAGCAAGAATGACGCTACACTGTGTTTATGATCGAATATCAGAACAAAGCTTTGCTATATCGTCACTTTTATATTCTTGTTAAATATATGTTTACAATATAAACGTTTGTACAAATTGTCTGTAAATAAAACAGTTCGTATATAAAGATATTGACGAAAAATCAATGTTGTGTCCTGGGTGTATGCAACATGTTGTACGCGGGGTGTATACACCCAATATTTTTCTTAGGATTGTTGTGCGAAGTATAAATGGAAGTTATATTTACACAGGTTTAAAAGCGACAAATAGTGTTGATAAAAGATCTTAATACTACATGTAATGCCGAACCAAAAAGTAATTTCCATAAACGTACTGAAGTAAAAAACAAATTAACTAAATTAAAAAAAAAAATTTTAAACAAACTATCATATTCAAGCATAAAAGACGCTAGATGTACAAGGAGCGATTGTTATCTACATTGTAGACGGCGCAGTGGTCTAAAAAATCTCTCCAAAGCTTCCCCCCCCCTTCCCCAATCCCTGCATTGAAGACACTTTGCCCTTTCTTCGGCTCGTTTTAATCTAAATAAATAATAAAAACACTACATGAATGGTGTATTATGAATAAATCTTTTTATTTTTTGTTTCTGCAACATTTATGTTATCAATACATGTATTTTTAAGCATTTATGACAGTGATGTAGAATCTTTTTGAAGGGGGGGGGGGTACCCGAAAAAAACTTGAGATAAGTGGACTAGCTATAAAAAGGGGGGAAGGGCTTATCGAACTCAAAACTCCTAGATCAGATGGGGTTGTAGGTCCCGTCTTTTTTCAGTACCAATTCTCTCTTTGTTTTTTACTTAAACATAAAGCATAACCATTGCATGGTTATGTTGCAACAAAAAATAGGGGACAACCTGACTTTCGATGAACATTTTCTGTAGTGAAAAGTTGTGTCTGGAACAAAAAGGGGGGGGGGTGATATTACGTGCCTGTATGATATATTAATTTTCCTTTCAACTTTTGCAATATTCGGACTCATTTTTCCTTATCTGATAAGATTTCGTATTTTACAAATTACAATAAACATGTAAAGTCGGCTATAAAAATGCACATTTGTAATAAGGGACGACAATTTTCTGAGGGCATGCATAATTGAAAAAAAAAACAAACAAACTACGAAAGCCCAGAAGGCTCATTCGAGATTCAAGTTTCGAAATACGAGATTCAAAATTCGAGATTCGAAATTCGAGTTTCGAGATTCAAGATCCAGATTAACCAATCAAAAGGCTCATTCGAGATTCGAGGTTCGAAATTCGAGATTCGAAATTCGAGATTCAAAATCCAGATTAACCAATCAAATGCGGGTTCAACATTGATTACTCACCTTTATTATGTTTAATCTATCAATAAATCGTTTAATATATTTATAACAAATGAGTCATTTGAATAAATTACAATGCAAGAAAGAGTGTTATATTAGAAAGAAAGTTAAATAATCATTTGATTTTTGGTCAGCAAGATATACTTCAATTTATATTATGACTTCTTAAATATTAAATAGAATACATAATCAGAAATATATATATTTTTGCATTGTCTACTATATATAAAGGATTGTTGACATAATAATAAAGTTATAGATAGTGACTAAAGATTAACAAAATCCTTGTAGCCTTGATAAATAAAAACCGAGTATATTTTAGTCTTTGACCATAACACTATGGTCAGAGACTAAAATATAAAACCATAACGCTATAGTTCTGCAGCTAATTTAGACTAATCTACTGTTTGATATCAGACAAAATGAATGCTGCATTTATTCTAATTCCTATTTGCAATCTGTATTGTATATATAATTGTTAATTAGTTCAAGAAATCAAAGCCTTAGATGAAGATAAGTAATTGAAAACTTTATTTTAATGTATTCCCTCTATTAGGAAAACGAGCGCGGTTTTTATTTATCAAGGCTACCTTGCCTTTCAAATTTTTAAAGTAACATTTTCAGTGTCGGGAAAAATTGGCAGGTGTTGCCGGTAGGGGTGGGGATTTTGTTAATCTTTAGACACTATTTATAACTGTATTATTATGTCAGCAACCCTTTATATATAGTAGACAATGCAAAAATATATAAATGATAATAGATAAATGAGGGTCCACTGTATTCCTGATATATGTATTCTATTTAATATTTAAGAAGTCATAATATAAATTGAAGTATATCTTGCTGATCAAAAATCAAATGATTATTTAACTTTCCTTCTAATATATATAACACTCTTTCTTGTATTGTAATTTAATCAAATGACTCATTTGTTATAAATATATTAAACGATTTATTGATAGATAAAACATAATAAAGGGAAGTAATCAAATGTTGAACCCGTATTTGATTAGTTAATCTGGATTTTGAATCTCGAAACTCGAATTTCGAATCTCGTATTTCGAACCTCGAATCTCGAATGAGCCTTTTGATTGGTTAATCTGGATCTTGAATCTCGAAACTCGAATTTCGAATTTTGAATCTCGTATTTCGAACCTTGAATCTCGAATGAGCCCTCTGGGCTTTCGTAAACAAACTGTTTTTGGTACAATTACAATTTCACGGTGACGTGTAATTAATATCAATGAATGTCCACTCCTCCTTTATTTTATTATTGTATATACACGTAGTAAAGATACCACCCCCCCCACCCCCCAAAAATGACATAAGACACAAACACACCCTCCTCGGGCCCATTCCTAGAAAATATGTACTCAGCACAATACAATGCCTCAATATTAAACAAATAGTTTACTGCCAAATATGGGCTTATGGGGCCAAAGTACACAACGTAAACTATTACGTATTACTATTACGCATACTACATGAAGGAGAACAATTTTTTTTGGTGTTGATGACATTACAAAAATCTAAATATTTTAAAACTCATTTAAAAAATATTGAAAAAAAGTTAAACAGAAATTATGAGGAAATGTTAAATGTTCAAAATGATGCATGTGTGAAGCATTTATTAAGGAAGGATCTGAATAAGGTGCCTTTAAATCGAAAGAAGGGATGAATTGCTGGTTATCACATTAAAAAGTTAAACAAAGTACCCTGTACATTTACTTCCATGTGCATGTAAAGCCAAAAGTACGATGAACGTATTATTCCAGTAAATCGAATTCATGAACCTGAAGTTGTGCTATTACAAAACTGGTGAATAATTAAGAAAAAAAATAGAAATTTTATCACAAAAGTCAGTTGTTAAGAATTTTTTAATGACATTTCAGACAATGATACTATAGAGTAAAAAGAGGGGTATACACCCCGTGCACAACATGTTGCATACACCCCGGACACAACATTGATTTTTCGTCAATATTTTTTTATACGAACTGTTTTATTTACAGACAATTTGTACAAACGTTTATATTGTAAACATGTATTTAACAATAATATAAAAATGACGATAAAGCAAAGCTTTGTTCTGATATTCGATCATAAACACAGTGTAGCGTCAATCTTGCTCC